TGGTCAAAATTCTGCTATTGTGTTTTTTCTACAATTGTGCTTCCTAGCTCTAAGAGTTAATCTGGAGAAGTGGAAATTATTTGGAATTTAGTTTTAGACACAAACACCTCCCTCTGTCTCTCATCAACTACGGTGTTTATAGAGTCACTTTTTCTAAATATTTAAAAATCTTTCATTTCCCTGCTGCTCTGTGTGGCATTACAGGCAAATTACTGCAGAGCTGTAATAAGGTTTATTAAATAAATAAAATTTAAGCTATAAATAAGGCTGGAGATGCCATAACCCTTCTTTCCAGTATCTCACACACCAAGAATCCCATTTTCCTTGTCCCACCTCAACCAGTTGCTGCCACCCCTCCCTTGCAGCTCAAACAGGCAGGGAGCAAACCAGACCAAGGACCTGATTCAGCTGAAAGCCCAGCACAACAAAAGTTTATTTTCATGGTTTCCTGAGCCAGCTCACCCATGTTTATCCACAAACACGGACCTGCTCAGAGGCAGAGCATGCTCACTAGTGTCCCTCTCAGCAGCAGCCCTGATTTACAGTAGATTAGACAAAATTAACAGATCCTTAAGATATTAGAATGGTAATGATCCATTCCAAGAGACACACTAACCTCCTGCACAACACAAGGTACAGGATTCTCCCAACAATTCCATCAGTTCCAAAAATTTCCCTCTTAAAATGGGATTCAATGTTGGTTACAGACTCCAAGTAACTAAAAATATAATGCTCATTCAGTAAATTTATTCTTTAAACAGAACCAGAAGAACAACCAAACGACAAACAATTCCCACTCCAATTTCCCTTCAGAAATCATCCAGCACCTAGTACACCTTTTTAGGACTTTATATGCTAAACAAGCATGTCTTAATTTAGTCACTACATTGGCTGGCCCTCAGAGATCTTTTTGCTATGTCTATAAGAGCAGGGACAAAAAAACCTCTAACCCTTTTTGTGGAGTAAGAACTTAAACCTTTCTAAGTATAGGAAAGGGTAGTTGCAATTTAAGCTTCTATCAGTGACAGAAAAAAACCCCAGTTTAGATAAACCTAAATATTCTTTAGATAAATAATAACTTTGGATAAATTTATTGAAGGTAACTTTAATAAATTATTCAGGTAGCCAATAAATAAAATATTTTAACTTACTTTTCCCCTTTGGTTTGGATTTCCCTTCTTTTACTTTCGCTCCTGTGAGAGCAGCCAGCTCCGCTTCCAGGTCCCCATCATCCCCACCTTCCTCTGCTCCCAGCAGCATCTCCTCAGGATTGAACTCTACAAACAGCCCCAGCTGGAGCCCAGGGAAAAGAACAAAAAAGAAGAATAAAAAAAATCCTGCAGCCAGAACAAAGATGACACCTAAAAACATTACACTGCATGGATTATTTTCATGCATTCTGAATTTCACGCATTCCGGGTTCTGCTCTTTTTTTTTTTTTTACAGCCCACTATCACACCACTTCTATAACCAAAACAGAGCATACCAGGCACTTACAACTGATGTAAAGTTCATAAGTCTTAATAAGCCACAAATACTCTACACAAACTATGATTTCTTAAAAATCAAGCCCATTCAACAGTCTGGCATAACAAGGTAAAATAAAACGCTGTTTGTTTTACCGAGTCTCATAAAGCAGATACCATCAGGGAAGTTCAGGGCAGTGCCTGAGACAGCTAAGCCAAAAAATATTCACTCACTGTTCACACACAACAGGTCTGACATGTGGGCACTGCAGAGACTTCACCCTTACCTGCTGAAGAAGCTTTCTAGATACAGAACTGTTCTATACTCCCGGTTAGTTTGGTGTCTAAATCATAAACACGTGGGAAGCACAGGGAAACACAGGGAAACACAGAGCATTTAAAGCCCAGCAGTGCCCACACTGCACCACCAGGCTGGATGGATCATCAGCTCAGGGATAAGATCTCAGGAGTGTATTAATAACAGTAAACACAACCTGACAGCAGGGGTTGGACTCAGTTGCTCAACACATGCCACAGGACATCACAGAAACGTCATGATGTCCGAGTCTAAAAGGCATTCTGCTAAAATGTCAGTTTATCACAATTTTTATAGTGCTGGTTAAGATACTAACTGCCCCAGAATAAAACGTTTTAGTTGAAGTACGCTAAGCTTTTTTATACACAGGAATTAACTGAGTTAGATTCATCCTATGAGGTAGGTGGAGCAGCTTTCCTCAGACTTTTCCAAAGCACAAGTCCCTGATGGCTTATTGATCCTCACAGGGCCAAGGAGGGAGCACCTGAGCTTCTCTCCAGCACAGCAAAAAAACATCAGTTGTCATTATTAGGAGAGTTAGCAGCCTCCTCCTGTCTCAAGGATCTGAAGTGCTGCAAGAAGCTGAAGATGCCTCAGATTATAAACTAGTATGTGCAGTAACTTTTTCTTTTAACCCTGCAGAAATTGAGGTGCTGGTGGCTACTGCCCTGAAATATTTTGTGTCCCTCCCTGAACTCTTTCATAATACCACAGGAGAACGTGAAGCATAGCTGAGAATTACAGAGATAACAGCAACAGCACTCAAAATCATCAGCAATTTGTTTGCAGCACCAATCCTACCCCTGACATTGCATAAGGCACCGGGCAGATCAGCCAGGCACCCTCTGCCTGATCCATCTCCTGGTCATAGAACAAAACTAATGTATTTGCAGTCTGGGATAGAATGGAAAGAAGGTCATGATGAGATTTAAATAGGGAATATTTACAATGGTGATCTAAAGATTCAAGTTCAACGTGTAAAATGGAGCAGGAGCACATTTGATCTGTTCATTACCACACTGCAAGTGTGCAAAGTGAACCCAGTGTAGTAACGAATGAAGTCAAAACCAGAATCCAGCAGTGCCAGCTCCAGGTCTCTCAATCCACTCAGTAAAGCACATTTCCAATGAAATTAATAATGTTAAAGAAATGTTCAATATATCAGAAAAAAAAAGTTATGAAAAACTTGCTGATACACTACATAGCAGAAAACCAGATTAAACTGAGTTAATTTGAAAGTGAACAAACCATTTGTTTCAAGAAACAGTCATCATGCTGTAAGGCAGACTGTGTATCTATCAATCAATCAATCTATCTATATATACACATACATATACCTCTCCAGTTATTCCACCTCTTACTGGCCTCTATTCTACCTTTGAAGGTTTTTAAAGTTCCATTCTGGCTGAAACATATTCTTTACCTCTAACTTTTTTCTTTACTGTTCTACATAGAATTTTGTGCTGGCTGTATTTCTAATTTTGATGCCGTTGCCTGACTTCTTATACCTACCAACCCTGACTAAATCACGTTGTCTCTCCACAAGGCTTCTGAAACTACATCCAAAGGTAAACAGCATGAAAAAAAACCCAACACACAGACACATCTAAGCTCACTTCCAGCTATAGGAAAGGGGCATAGGCATATCAGTCTATCTGTTGCAAAAAAAAAAAAATGACTGTACACAGGGAAGTTAAAATTAACTGTCTCCTGTTAGCAACTTAACGTTCCCCCATGTATGTTCCTGAAGTTGTTGCCTGATATTCTGGTTTTCTAATTTCTGCTTTCTTAGAGATGTAACGAAAACCTTCCCAGAGTTACCGAAGTTATTATTAAATCTCAACGTAGCTGGGCTAAGTAAATACTGTAAGCATGAGTCATGAGGTCTCGTGCAAAGATTACAGCATTACAACATGTGGCTTCCCCCTGCTGCATATCAGCTATTTACTTGAAGAAGAATGCGTTAGAGGAGAAAGCAGGAAAACAGGCACCGCTCAATTTAATTTTTTCCACGGTCCTGCAGTGCGATTAAGGCATGGGAGGTTCCAGCAGGAAAACAGCGGCAAGAGTTCTGAACCAGCCTACCCTGAGGGGCAGCGGGAGCAGGAGGTTTCCCTACCTGCTCTGCAAGCAACAACATCTCCCTGGCCCATTGCCCTCCTTACCTGCTTCGCAACTGCAGCTCCCTGGCCCTTTGCCTGCGGGCTCTTTTTAGGTCTTCTGCCAAGCATGTTGGTTCATGAATTTCACAGGAATGTCTCTCTGAGGGACTGAGAGCACACGAAAGCCCAAGTCAGTACACCCTGCCTGTCCCAGCGCAGCGCCGGCCGGCCGAGGGCAGGCAGCGCCGCCCCGCAGCTCCCCCCCGGCACCCCCTCAGAGCGAGAGGGAAGGAGCGGGGGCGGCCCCGCGGATCGCGCTCCCCAGGGCGCGGGGAGCCCAGCCCGGCCCGGCCGCACCCCGCGCTCCGCCCGGCCCGGGCGGGCAGCGCGCCAGGACCCCCTGCCCCAGCGGGGTGGGCTGGGAGCTCTCCTCCCCCCAGCGCAGGGACGGGCCGGAGGGGCGATGGGCTGGGGAAAGGAAGGCTGAGGGGCCGCACGGGGACAGGCGGGCCCGGCTCACCTCGGCTCCGCTCCCGCCCGGCGCGGCCCCGGCGGCTCCGCGGCTGCGCCGAGGGGCGGGACCGGCTGAGGGCGGGCGGGCACAGCTGCCTGTTCCCGAGCCGCGTCCAAACCATCCGCATCGCCTGCGCTACCTGAGGGGACGCCTGTGAGAAAATCCTTCATATTAATCAATAAAAAGAGCTGGTTACCCCCGTGACGCATTTCTTGCGGTATTTTTACTTTCTTACGAGCAAAGCAGTCTCCTCCGCTCAACTTTCAGCCCAGATGGCAGACTGGAAGTTCCCCTTAATATGTCAAGGAATGAAAGTTGAAGGACATTTTAACGATGTTGAGTATAAAAGTCACCGAGGAAAAGCTACAGAAACCACCAGGCCAAAGACAACACAAGTCTTAACAAAGAAAGGGGATTCAGGTAATCCATTTCAAGAAACCCATTTCAAGCTCATACACCTCAGGTGAAAGGGGACCTGGTTACCAGCACATAAAAATATTTTTAAAAACAAAGGAAGTTAGAGTATTTAAAATGCTTTTAAATTAATGCTTTATTATTAAAAAGAGTGCATCAAACATTTTAAAAAAATACTTTTCGCCATTTCCATTTTATGGACAGTTTAAAAAAAATAAAAATAGGCAATATTTAAAACCTTGACACACAGTAAAAGGGATAAAATCTCTTTTGCCCTATTCCTCCTTGAGTGCATACATGACATCGTCCTGGCTGAGGTTCAGCCGCACCCGCATGTGAAGGTATTTATTGCTGGCCTCCAACAGCAGCAGCCTGGAGGCACCGAGCCTGGAGCAAATGGCCATCATTTCTGACACAGTGGGCCTCTGCATGCCTTCAATCCTGCACAGAGCCATGTGCTGGTGGTACACCTGTGAAAAAAGAGAAAAGGACACAGGTCACGTTTATATCCTGCTGCAATTGAGTACACCCAGGTGATAAAGAGGAGCTTCCTTCCCTCCACGTCCGTGGCAGGAGAGGGAAAACTGGCTCTAGCCTGTTCACATGAAGTGCACAGGCTGCTGTTCCTTGACAGAGTCCTAACAGTTCATGCAGGAAGTAAAAATTCCAAGCTATGGTTTCCTTTTTAATACAGCCAAACCCCAGAACATACAGCAACCTACCTTTTCTGCTATTTTTTAATTAGATCATTTATCTGTTACTGCCTCTTCTCCCCTGGACTGTGCAGACTGAAGCTTTCTGAGCAGTAAAAAACCCAGATGGTAACATTAACTTAGGCTTTACACCTGGCCTGGGCAGTCATGCCCCGAATTACCTTGCCATCATGTTGTCTTCCGTCAAATTTTAGGACTAAAACCCCAAGTATTCAAACATTTACACTTCAGTCCAATAATTTTGATAGCACCTCTCTCTTTTAAGAGAAAAAGTAAGAGTACTCTGAAGCACAAACATACCTGTTGAACTGTTGCCTCCTCAACTCCTGCCCTGCGAAACTCCGCTAAAATCGCTTTCAAAAAGATTTGCTCGTGCAACGAGGCATTCCTGAATGGAAAGACCAAACAGACAAAAATCAGCTTAGGAAGTTTAGAACTTGGGAAACATCAGGAATGGAAATGGCTTGGTAACAACACACTCAAATGCAGGCTGTTTTTCTACCCCAGAGGGGCAGCTTATTTCAGCCACTTTATTCCAGTCTGCAACTCTGGCACCGCAGGAGATGCTTTTGAAAAAACAGCGCAGTGAAGGAGACACAAAGCAAAGCGGTTCCTCTGAGAACTGTACCGGATTGCATTTATATACGGCGATGAGAACATTTCATCGATGGCCTCGGTGACGTGGGCCATCCCAACTATCTCAGGGCTCCTCTTCTGCTTGGCAAACTCGCAGATCTCTGTGGCCCTCCTGCAGATGTCGAGGCAGCGCCGGGCGTCGCCGGACAGCGCTGCGACCTGGAAGGACAGGGACAGCTTTGGAGCAAAACTTCCCTCGCGTTCACAAAAGAGCTCAGCGAGAATCAGCAGACAAACAAAACCCAACCCCCCTGAGCACCCAACAGAAGAGCAATATCACTCTGAAGTGTGTTAAATACAATCCCAGATTCTAAACAACAGTCTGAGTGACCAAAACCGACGGCCTCATCTGGGCATCACCCCCCCACACCCTGATCTGGGCATCACAAGCTCAAGGCTGAACAGTTTTCTTAACTACAGAAGTCAGAGGTTAAAAAAAAAAAAAAAAATTAAAGGTGAGAAGTTCACTTTGACACCAAAAGCTTTCAGAGATACCAATTTAATTATCAATAAAGAGCCTTTCCACAATTCAGGTTCATAGAAAGCTGGGGGCATAACACCAAAAACCTCCCCAGTTTTTACATATTCATATATGTTAAATATATTTTACATATATTTTACATATTCATATATTTTCCATATTCATATATAACTGATTTTAAGAGTAAAGTAATAATTTTAGTAGGTCTCAAAGGAATATCTGGGATAGTGAATTTTACATTTAGGAGTGCCTGACAATATTTAGGTGTCTGAAGTTTCTGAAACTAAATATTTCCTTCCACTTGTGCTTTATAATTTTAATTAACCTATGAACATTTGCTAAGATAAACTACTAGCCTAGTTTTCACAGTAGATGCTGGTAACAAACAGTCCTAGAACTAAGCTAGAGCCAAGAATGAGAAACCCTTTAGAAAATCTAATTGCAACTTATATTCCTAGATTTTCTGAAGAAAAATTGTACTATAAAAACACTGCAGTTATTCAGTCTACATCATTGTTATTTTTCCTACAAAAAGGTGGTTCCTTCCTAACAAAACAGATTTCCTTCTGACACATTTATTATTAGGGTTTTTTCATCCTACAATGATGTTGGATGTTCTGACAATTTTAATAGATTAATTTAATATATAGTTGCTGACATACCACATTAACAATGCCCACATCTCAATCTGAGGAGCTGCTGATCCCCAATGCATTATTTATTTTTTGTACAACTGAGTATTAAGACTTGCAAACAGAACAGGTACTATCTATTATGACAAGGCATTAAGCATCTTGAAAAGGAAGATTAACATGGATATTTCCACTGCCACTGGCATACTATTTTTTCAAGAAGATCCAATGACTCACATTATGCCAAACACTGGAGAAACCTGACATCTTATCACTGTGCATTATCACGACTCTTGCTGTCATGCCTCCAGCTCTTAGAACGTACTGCTGCCTTCACAAAGTGGGTGGGAAAAACAAGGACACTGCTTTAGCAATGTTTCCTGAGCAAGCACTCTGAATAATGTATGATCTGCTGCTTGTGCCCCGCTCGTCTCCCATACACAAAACAACCCCAGAAGCAAGCCCAGCTACGGTTACAAAACTCTCCCCTCTGCCCTCCCGCTCCTTACCAAGAGCGAAACGAAGAGCCTGTGTTTGCTGTGTGCTCACCTTTCTGGAAACCAGCTGAACTGCATCCTCTTCAAACGCCTTCACACCCTTCAGTCTGGATGAAATAATGTGCTGTAACTGTTTGTAGGTGTAGGGCTGGAAGGCCATTCTGGTGAGGCCCTGCAGTAAATGACACAACACAGGGAGAAGCGTTTGCAGTGCTGGAAAACTCCCGACTGCTCAAGCATGGCCTGTATGGTAAAGTTTTACTTTCTCTGGTAGGAGCAATCAATTTTTCACATCCTTTCCCTCCAAGTGATGTGGTTTAATCGATCATACTTGTGCAATGAATGTGCAAATTCACAACACTGTGACTCAGTGAGGACCACTGACTGGATATCTCTACTGAAAAGCCCAAGGAGCAAAAACAGCTGATATTAGAATTTAAATTTCTCTAATAAAACTTTTAAACAAATCAGACCCTCCAGCACAAAACTATTTTGATTACAACTCTTCACACATTAATTTTTAATACTGTAGCAGCAGCAGCTGTGAAAAAATATTAATCTCTCCTTTAGCAAATCTGTGTAAGTGTACACAGTCTCACTATTGACTTCATGTTAGCAATTCTTCAGCCAAGAATTAAAAATCCTCTTATGGCTCAAGCTAATAAGAACTGCTCTCAGATGAGGACAAATCTGTGTTACAGATGGTGCACTGCCTTTCACATTCTGCAGGAGGCCTTGTATTTCTTATGCAAAATTCTTCTCCCTTGTGACTGTGTGGACTCAGCTGATCTGAAGTGGGTTTAGCAATTCCCACTCTGGGAAGCTATTTTGGAGTCACAGAAGGATGGAGGCACAGAGCACTGTTTCTGCAAATCACTCCTCAGAACAGTGATGAAGAATGACCCAGGAAAACATTAAATACAGGTGTAGAGCACACCCAACTTTGTGTGCAATGGGATCCAACAAGATCCACCAGCTGATGATGGCAGAGAAGTAATGAGGTGCCTGGAATTAAAGGGGAAAGAGCCAGGGAAACCAGAAGAGAATTCTTCTGAGCTCTGGAGTAAGCAGCTTAACCATGAAGCACAGCATTTGATTATCCAGATCTTTATATATTTAAAAAGACATCAGTATTAATTCACTCTTACCCAGTGTACTTACAGAGCATAACATCTCATTAGGCAAGCAGGCTCCTAAACTTACTTTGCCAAGATTTACGTGTTCATTATCAGCCCTCTGGAGAGGGAATTATAAAAACCATTGTTCAACCTCTGATATAACCAATCCTACCCTTGGCCTGGATTACTTTTGATTGCATCCAGTGTTTAACTTGTTCCCATTTTAGGGCACAGGAACAGAACTGCTGGGACATACCAGCCTGCTGGCGACTCTGTTCATCATGATCCTCTCTGGCAGGTCCATGGTGTTGGCAATGGCCAGGATGATTAACTTGGAGTGCTTCTGGGTGGGCCAGTCAAACAAGTTGTACATCACGTTCTGTTTGCGGGTCCACAGCAGATCAAGCTGCAGAGATACAACAACAACAATCAGACTGGAAAGGGATAGCCTCTTATTTACAATACCTGATGGGGAGGGGGGGTTGAGAGAACTAACTCTGCCACTTCTCACGTGATCCTGAACAAGCTGCCTCTGTTGTGTTTTCTTTCTCCTTTTACTAATAGGGCTGCATTTTCTGAATTAGGGCTCTAATCTCTTTATGGCAAAGCACAGTCCTATAGATGCTTCAACAGCATTAGCCACAGTAGAATGATTAAACAGCTGGAGTTTTTAAACACTGCTGTGACACTAATACTACATCTCACAAGATTCAAAGACCCTGCACGTGAGAACCTGAATTAGCTTACAGCAAAAATAAAGAGTGCATTTGATTATTACTGAACATAGCACATTCAAGGCATTTCAAAACTGGATATCACTTATTTCACTGTGGAGTTTTCTCACTGGAAAATCAGCAGCTTCCAGACAAAATACAGCAGAATTCTGTGGTATTTAGAGCTTGATATTACTCATTCCATGTCTTGGACCAAAACAAAACATAAAACCGATGTGAAATCCAAGGCAGAGAACAAAATGGCAAAAGGATCCTTAGCCTTTTTAGGAAGCTGAATTTCATTGTGTAAGAGGAACTACTTGTGTGTTCTCTCTCCTAAATCTGTTCCTTTGAGATACGACACACTCAAAACGTGTCCAATTTGTCTTTTTTTCCATCCTCCAAAAACTCCTTTCTTACGATATTTCAAGGGAAGAACATGCAGGGGTTTTTGTCTCACCTCATCCACTATGAGCACTGTGGTTTTCCTCTTGGGCCCAGGTGTGGTGAACAGTTTTGCCAACAGTACTGCAGCATGGCTTGCTGTCACCTTCTGACCTGTCAGTAACTGGACAATGATCAAACAATGCTGCAGGTTAATCACACCAACATTTAATTCCTATTCAGTTTTACCTTTCTCTAACAATCAACATCAAGCACCTGGAATTTTTTTTCCACAGGGGAGTAAAAAACAGAAAAAGTGGCTCCTAAGACACTCAGGTCTACTACGAACTGTCCATGAAGGAGAACAGAAAAAAAACAATAACACAGCTAAAAAGAAAGGCCATTAGAATTTTCTGCAATTTGTCTTAAAATCATTAAAGAATCCTGAACCCAGTCTCAGAGAACTCCAAACCCAGCATATCTCAAGGGTGTCTCTGAACACACACACCTACTGAAAACCTAAGTCAGCTGACAAGAACTGCCTGACTTCAGTAATCTTGGACTCCCATTAAATTATTCATGAATCATTAGCAGGATCTAGAACTAAACTTATTCCACTCCAAGCTAAAAAAACACCTTCAATACCTTCTGCAACAATCTATGTAGCAGAACAGATGAGCTGACGTCTTCTCTTGCAGGTCCAAAGATATCCAGAATTTAAAGCATGACATGTCAAAATTACACTATATATGTGAATTAATTATTCATCAGTTCAGAGTCAAGCCACAAAGCAAAATGGAAATTGCATTTGAAAATTGTATTTCTTTTCTAGAATCCCTTATAAACTGACCTGAGATTTCACAACTATTAAACAGGTCAGAGCATGCCAATAATGTATAATCTGTACTTGTATCGTGTTTCCAGTTCAGTCAGGATGGTCTGAATCTGTCATACAAAGCAGTTGGATCCCAGAGAACCCTGATCTACAGCTCTAGAACTCTGTATCCAATACCCCACAAAGAGTTCTGTTTGTTGTGGTGGAACTAGACCTTGTCTTTAACCTTATCCCTATCATCTGTCAAGGGCTTCCTGTGCCTGTACCTTCTCTTTACATTTCCATCTGCCAGGGAGGCAACTGCAGAAGAGAACACTACAGGATTTGTTTCAGTCATGCAAAGAAACATCAGCAAACTGGAGGTCAAGACTGACCTGCAGCAAGAGATGAAGCAGCAGCAGCAGCAGCAGCCTGGCTCTTGGCCAGGGTACTGGGATAAGGGCTGAGGAAAGGGAGAAATAAGTGGTTCATGTGACCATGGACTCCCCTGAAGGATATTTAACTGGGCTTGGTTAGAGTTCAGGACCTGTGGGAGGCAACAGCTTTCACTTCCAAATGCCTATTCCTTATTAATTTTAAAATCTGATGCTGACTGAGATAGGAAGAAAGGATGTTAAAATACATTAACACCACCATGAGATAAGGTAATTGTCAGGAAGCCTTTCACTGTGACCTGGCCTCAATAAATCCCTCTGCAAGAAACTATGCTGGTCTAAAGGAAAGGATGCACATATGGTAATTTAACTCCCAGCTATGAGGAGAGGGATATTAGAACACTATGCCACTAATTGCTCAGAAAGATGTCAAACTTAAATAAATGGAGCAGAAGTTTATATGAAAATGGAACAGATGCTTCAGGAAATCATTTCATTTCCAGATCACTTACTTGAAGTTAGCCTAGACTGACAGACTCTTGAGCAGTTACTGTCTAATGCCTCTTGGGTGATCTCAATCCAGGCCTCAGAAGGTTAATTCCCACCCATATGACATAAGCACAGTCAGTAGCCCTACATGGACACTGCAGACTGGTTTGTTATGGATATCAGAAACACACTTTTGTTGACGGACAGTCCTTCTGTAGGTGGATTGCTATTATGGCAGATCAATTAACCATTAAGACCTCCTTAGTCATTATTCTACTGCTACACTGACTTGCAGAGTTGTCATCTTAGTGGCTGTTCAAGCCCACACATGAAAGAAAAACTACAAAATAGGAAAATTTATAAAAATAAGCTGCTTTAGATTTTTCTGTTCACCTACCTCTAGGATCTGCACATAAGCTTGGTGAGGGTCTGTGAGCTTCATGCCATTGATCTCCACCAGCTGGAAGGACGGCAGCTCATCCTTTTCTGCAGCCTGCTGAAGGCAGCGGATCACCTCGTGCACGGTGGCAGTTTTACCCGTTCCAGGCACCCCAGAGATGTACATGCACCTACAGCGGGAGAACAGCAGCCTGAGCAAAAGGGGAACACTCCTGGCATGAAAGAGCTGGAATTCCTGGCCTCTGACACGAGCCTTGAGTACTCCTCTGTCACTGCAGGCAATTCCCAATGTTTCAGCAAACTGGAACATGTAACGCACCGGAGGATCATGAGGGGTTTTATTATTCCTGAAGCAACTAACGACCTAAAATACTTTATAGATGTAATTTACCTCTTTTTTAAAAAAATAAATAAATGGTTCCCCAGACATCTAAAACTGACTAGTTATATTTTGGTCTTTAATTTGAATCTGTGCAATAAAGAAGCCCACATTATTTCTCTTTCTTCTTAAGGACCAGAAAAATTCAATTAGGAACTTTAAACAATGATGACTTTTTAAGTAAAAGCAGTGTGTGTTGTCTGACTGCTTTTATGTCATAGGTAGGTTGGTTACAGTCTCCCAAACTCACCCTCCTGTACCATCAATGAGTTTACTTTCCACAAAGTTGTAGATATCCTGAAATTCTTCCTCCCGGCAAGGCAGAGACTCTGGGACAGCAGAAACATGCAGCCTTTTGATTCAAAAAGAAAAAGAAAATTAAAATGACAGTTCTACCTGAAGGGCCCACTGATAAAACAAACAGCCAGGTGTGGAGTCTTCCAAATCTCTTTTACATAACCCAAGTCTGAACATCAATGTCAGGTATCTCAAAAGAAACAGCCTGGTTTCTCTGTGTGTTTTTAATTTATGCAGCAATAAGGATCTAGCTGTTTTAATTCACAAACTATTTGTAAGTCAGTGCAGAGGTAGGATAAAACAGGGGAGACTGCTTATAGAAAACTGAGTTTAAAACCCAGTTTGAAAGATATGGTCGATCCCTAATGCCTTTTTTCCCCCCCACTGTGAAGATCTACAGTGATACCTGTAAAGCTTTTTCAGACACAAAGAAGAGACAAACAGTGTACCTTCACAATCTAAAGCTGATAAGACAGGTTAAAATCACTTGAGATTGTAAAAGTAGCACTGTGAATATGACTAGTATTTGTAAATCTAATACTGTGTTGTAAATTATTAGGGGCTCTTCTCACATCAGGCATTTTTACCAATTTTATTCAATAAGGTAAAGAGGACATTCCCTACTCCAGCACAGCTACTGCTGTGCATACCTAACACAAATAAAGATGATTTCCTCCCCTGAGCACAAGTTACCTTAATCTGGCTTCTTCCAGTACACTGGCTGGTTTCTGGGCCGCATTGCTGCGCCTGGGAATTTCGGGAGTGGCATTCCGGGGAGTCTTGGGTGTTCCTGGTAAAGGCTGCAAAGGAAAATCACAACCTCAAACAGATTTCCTACATGCAGCAATGTCTGTGGGAGATTAATGATTCCTGAGAGTTTCCCAAGCACAAACTACCCAGGGATGCCAGAGCACAAGATGGACAGAGAAAGAGTCAGGGGGTGCTGACAAAGCATTTACAGCTTTTAACTGCCTGAAGAATTTTCAAGTTGTTAATGCTTTTCTGAAGCGCTGTGTTACAAAGTGATCTGGTTTACAAGAGAGGGCAGGCAAACAGAAACTGATCTATCTGAACTTCACTGTTCAAACAGAAGCCATACAGCATCTTAATTATTCTTCTGTGCTGTGCCTGCAACCTCGTTACAGTAGGTTTTCTCTGTTAGACATTTTATTGTCAACACTGTCACAATGTGCAAGTGGTTTATACACTTGCATAACCTACTCACATCAAAGATTAAATTAATCCAAATAATGCTTCATTAAAAGCTAAGGAGTTCAAATACTTAACTCTGGTACACAGGCATCAAGCATTCAAATAACTGGCTCAGAAATAACAAAAATAGCTCTTTCAGATGGAACCTTACAGTTTTCTTTGGGGTCTTTGCAGGAGTGTGAACTGAAGACTTGCTAGAAGATGTTGGGGTGCTGAATGTTCTGCTTGATTTAGTTTTCTTTTCTGGTGTACAGGGCACATCATCCTCCTCCTCTTCCTCACTACTCGAAGAGTAAGAACTGTCAGAGCTGGACAGATCACCTTGCTGGTTCAACACGCTGTAAGAAACGGAAATTAAAAAAATACACACAAATCTAAACACTACAAAGCCTCATTTGTACATTTTCAGCTTTTTCTGCAGTTCTCATAATCAGCAAACCAAAGTGTTTTCCACTTGAGCTGCTCATTTTCCATGGCTATTTAACAGTTTGGAGGTTTAGAGGAAGTCATATTTCTGAAGAACACCGTGAGTCAGCCTTATGTTTCTGAAGATTAGACAGTTTTTACTCACACTGCAATTAAGCTGCACTCATAGAACCATTTGCATTTCAATGTCATGCCAGACAAACTCTCGAGCCTTCAAGCCATCAGCAGCCACCTGAACAAGGTACCAGGGATGCAAAGCTTACCTGATGTGCTGTGCAATGAGAGCACTCGTTCTCTGGGCACACGTTCTGCGAGAGCGAGGGGTCAGCACAGGGCTCTGAGTGCCCCCTTTCTGATGTCCAACCAAACTGCAAAGAAAAGAACACAAAGCTGTGTTGCACTTGTAAAGACACACAGAAGGCCTTTCAAACTCCAGGCTCGATTGTTATGGCTGCCGATCCAGCATGAATTCTTATTTGTCATTAACAGATTGGCTATGGCACGGCAGCAGTTTCCCCCCTCTTGCACTGTCTCTTCAATATGTCTTTGCCAAGAAAAAAACCAAAACATCTAAAAAATATTTGCTATACTTTGCAAATATAGCACTGCCAAACTGAAGGGACAGAGGCTCAAAACAGTTGTGGTTTTATTTGGTTTAGAGGTGGGGTTTTTGCCTATTCTTTTCTAAGAGAAAGAGAAGACAAAAACTATTTCCTTTGGGCCTCTCTTTGATCTGCCCTTATGAATATATTTTTCTCCTTGTGTTTTGATATTCCTTGGATGTCGTCTTGGGTGCTTCTCCTCCATACCACTAAAATATTTGTTAGTACAAAACTTTCCTACTAGTTGGAAGGACACGATGAGATGAATTCCAGATGCTTTAATTATTTGTTGACAGTTCTTGGAGATTTTTTTAGATCTATAAATACAGCTGAAATGCCACTACCTTATCAGTGAAAGGTAAACATTTTTATGTTATATAATAAGTGACAAAAAAAAAAAAAAAAAAAAAAAAAAAAAAAAAGTGCAAATTCCACTGTCACATCAGCATCTTCACTCTTGGAAAGGAGGAAAATGACTTATGTCCAGAAGTCTTTCACAAATGTATTTGATGAGAACGACACACAAATGGCAATCCCACAGACAAATAACGACACTTACGATATGGGGGCATCTTCCATGGGAAGGTTCTTGGCTTTCTCACTCCAGTCCTTGGCCTTGGTGTAGGGGGACAATCGAATTGTGTCATTGAACGTCTGACAGGGCTCTGCAGTGTCAGATCCAGCCCTGGATTTGTCGCTGCTGCAAGGGACCTTTGGTGGTGGGCCTAAAACGTCACTGGTGAACGTCACTTTTCGTTTAGTAGCTGCTGATTCTAACGGTGCTACGGCATCAGCATCATCGTCCAGAAGGCCCAGAACTTCACTGCCCAGGAGCCTGCCTTTGGATCTTGTGGGACCTGGAAATCAAGAGCAAAATGAACTTTTGTCAGGCTTCAGTATGGCTGCTTTGGTTAACTTTCAGAAGGCACGGTACAACTGGCTGTTATTTGAAGGAGATGGGCATTTCACTCCAGGAACAAGGAACTGGATCAGTAGAAGGCATGCACTTCCTATAAAAAATGATTAAATAGAAGACAGACATATTTGTTGTTTTCTAACCCACCTCCATCACTTACAACTTAACTGCGGTTGCAAGTTGAAAATATTGCATGTTTCATAGGATCAAATGTGCTCATCAATCAGCTCAGTGGAAACATTTTAGCTCATCAGTAGGCAGAAGATTAAAGAGAGGGGGACGTTCTGAGGCCAAGCTGGGCACTTCAGTAAACAAGCACTTTAATTTAGAATTGTCAGTTACAAAAGTTGCTCAAAATAACAGACAAGACAGACAACTGAAGTGCCCAAAAGGCTTGGGCTGGTCCCAAAGACTGAACAAGACAGCTAATAAATACTGCTGTTGAATGTTAGCACTGTTTGAACTCCCCAAACTGGAGAGGCACAGGACATGCTACATTCAGAACTCCAAAAGGAAGGACTATTGCCATGTACATACTGCTTAACTCCAACTTCTTCCGTGCTGGGGGGGTTTTGATGTCATTGGCCGCTCTCTGTGACTGCCTCTCCTTAGAGAGGGAGGACTTGGAAGCAGAATGTTTTGACTGGATTCCCAGCTCAGCACTTTTGGGTTTTGTGGCACTCCTAACAACACTCTCTCTCTCTTTTTTCAGGGGTGTGAGGGTGTCTGAAGGAATAAATGGTTGTGATGAGTCCAGGGTGCAGTCTTTTTTCTTCTTGGCTTTCAGCTTAGAGAATGTGTCTGGGGACAAAGCCTTAAAGCATTTCCCATCCCAAGACTGTTTTACATAGAAAGTTTGTTCCTTGTTCAGTGTAATAGGTAGTTCCTCCCCTGGATATAGTGGTATTACCTGCAAACACAGAAAATACCAAAGCACACATACATTAACACTTACATCAGTATTCAGCTATTTTCTATTCACAGATCTTATTATTGTAACTCATGCAATCCTTCACTATATAAAGCATCACCTTCAACCTACATTTACACCAGCATAAGTTTATTGCACTAGAGGACTGTTCCTGTTTCTCTCTCTGTGCAGAGGGGTTCCAGTACATACCATGATGCTTTTAATGATGGTCTGGGCATCTATATCAGTGTCATAGCCAAGAACTTGGTCGAAAAACACCTCCTGGGGAGAAACCTCTCTTTTAAGCAGCTTCCTTTTGTTCTGAGGTATCTCTCCAATATGGCAGAACCACTGCACAACTGCACGTTTGTGCTGAGCACCTGGAACAATGAGAAGAGGTCAGTGAACGTGAAGAATTTTATTGTAAATAGTTAGGGCCAGACCTTGATGACTTCAACCAAAATGCCATCAAGGATAGAAATCCTTCCTGCTGAGAAAGCATCTGGTAAGAGATTGCAATTCCCATTTTCTAAGCTAAATCAATGTTTGAGTTGAGACTTATAAAAACTAAGGTAACACTTACATAGGGTCTCAACCACAAAATACTGGGAGACCAGATCCAGACCACCAGTTCACTATCACAAACGAAGAGGTTCCTCATTTGCATTCATGTGATCTCCTCAAACTCCACTAACGAAAAGCAGTGGTATAAAAGAAGAACTGAGACATTTCAGAACGTTGTTTGTAGTGCCACTGTACTTTCAGAGGCTGGACACATTTTTTTCACTGCCTAACCAACCAGTACCTTGTCAACGATACATAACAAAAGAAAAATCTTGTTTTCAGGGGAGTTCCAAGTGTTTCGTTCCAGAATGAAAAGAATCTTCACTTATGTTGCAATAAATGTCCGTTAGTAAATAAATAAGCTGGGGTGATGTGTATTTATGTTTTTAAAAAAGGCAAAGAAAATTAGGAAACCTCAAAGCATTATTATGATGGCACAAAAAGAACAAAAGCTGTTCAAAGAAATCAGACATAGCCAGCGAGGAGCTCCCAGATTCAGACACAACCTTTGTATCACTCCCCTCCCATGATGTATCTTTTCATATCTAGGAATAAAAAAAGTAGTTCTAGAAGGGACAGAAGTAACAAACCCCGTTTGCTCAGCCCTGTATTTTTTTTTGTTAAACTGCCTGATATCTCAGATCTGTCTTTCAGGGCTGCAATGCTCTTGCTCCATTTGGATTCTCCAATCTCTAAATAAAGCATGAACTCACACTGTCTTCCTCAAGGACCAATTCTTTCAAATTAAACAACTAAGCAAAAAGACTGTAAAAATATAATGTCCTTAAACTCTCCACTTCTGTATCAAACTTTGCTGAAATTAGCCATCGGTCCCAAATATTTGGGGAGCATGTGAATACAGATGCAACAATTACCAAAGCTTAATTTTCTTAATAAATTAGGCCAGTGATACAGTGTTAATGCTAACTACATCCCCACGAAAAGGTAACCTTAAAACATTTTTTTTCTCAGATAGAAGGTAAATTGTTATTTCTCTTACCATCTTCATACAAATCCAGGAGTTGTGCTACATAAGGCCGATCTGCATTCACCCCTTCTACTAGAACAAAGTCCCCAAGTTGTATACAGGTTTCTGTTCTGCTGCTTTCTGAGGTGATAATGATCCCCCTAGAGAGGGATAGACAGGCAGATTATCAGAAGTGCACACTCTTCCCAATTCACATATCATTAAACTTGATGGCCCATCAGCTTTACAGCCAGTTACACCCCTTTTTGAAAAGCTTACAGTTTAGTTCCCTGATTAGCTTTCAGATATATTTCAGCTAGACAGCTGACACTTAGATATAGTTAAATGCTTTTCGTTCTACATTACGCAATTTATAATTCAAGCGCTTTGTAAATGTTTTGGTTATATTTTTACAGTGTCACAACAAAATGCTCAAAATCTTACTCATATTCTCAGTGCCTGCCACATTAACCTAAACGATGTCAGAAAGGTGTTCATTGATTAAATTTCCCTGAGCAAGACAGAAATAAGTGTTATTTACTTGTACTGGGAAGTCCTCAGCTTTCTGTCTGAGCTCATGGGTTTTCCATACCAGGAGTAGATAAGTTTGCTTTGCTGCCGGGTGTTCATGATTCCCAACGAGAAGCTGAAAGAAATAAGCAAACACCTTAAAAAATATATTCTTTAAAAACAAAAGAAGGCAAGATGGAATGATACATAGAAACGCCACAAACTCTTTCGGTGTGTACGAAGAACGTGGGGGTTCGCTCGGAGAAGACCACGTTCCCCAAAGCCTCCAGACACCCTTCCCCGAGGGAGGAGGAAAAAAGGAAGATATTTAGTAGTGAATTTTTATTCAATTCCTATTCAATTCCCTCGCCGCCATGGCAGGGCGGGCTGCGCCCTCCGGAGACTGAACCTTGGCTTGTTTTCCACACCTCACTGCGATCGGGTTGGGTTAGTTTGTTCAATTCCTTTTTTCTAAGTAAGAATTTTCCTTGGAAACTCAGGGCAAGGCCCTCAGTGCCGATCACCTCCCGCCCGCCCCAGCCTGTCGCTTCTCGGAGGGGGAGCGCTGCCTCAGGAAGGGCCGTGCTCGCTGCGGGCGGCGCATGGCGGCACAGGGACAGTGTCCGCCCCCTCGGACACCCACTACCCTAGAACCGCTAACCCGCCCTCCGCCCTCACAGAGCCCCAAACCCGCCCTCCGCCCTCACAGAGCCCCAAATCCGCCAGACCCCCTCACAGAACGGGTAAGACTGGAAGAGACCACAGTCACTCATCCGATCCCACCTCCCTGTTCCAGCAGGGTCATCCCAGAGCACGTCGCACAGGACCGCGTTCAGATCTGCTCTGGGATACCTCCAGCGAGGAAGACTCCCCACGCTCCTCGAGCAGCCCGTCCCGGTGCGCGGTGACCCGCGCGGGAAACATGTCCCCCTCCCTGTCCCCTCTCTGTCCCCTCACAATCCCAACTCACCGCGACCCCTCCGCGACTCCCGCGAGCGCCACGATAGAACTTCGCGCCAAACGTGCGGGCAGCTCCGCCCCCCGGCCGCGCGCGCGCGCACACGGGAGGGGCGGGGCGGGCGCCATGTTTGTGTTGGGCTGCCCGCAGGCAAGATGGCGGGCGGTGGCCGCGCCCCGGAGGCGGAAGGTGCCTGAGCCCCTCTCGGGAGGGGGTTCAGAGTGCGCGGCTGAGCTCGGGGCCGGCAGCGGGCTTGGCAGCGGGGCTGTGCGGCCGCGAACATGGCCAACCGCACGGTGAAGGACGCGCACAGCATCCACGGCACCAACCCGCAGTACTTGGTGGAGAAGATCATCCGCACGCGCATCTACGAGTCCAAGTACTGGAAGGAGGAGTGTTTCGGCCTCACGGGTATGGCGGGCGGGCCGGGGCGGGCCGGGGGGCCCGGCGGGAGCTGCTGCTGACGGCCTGTCCCGTCCCTGTCGCAGCCGAGCTGGTGGTGGACAAGGCCATGGAGTTGAAGTACGTGGGGGGGGTCTATGGAGGGAACATCAAGCCCACGCCCTTCTTGTGCCTGACGCTGAAGATGCTGCAGATCCAGCCCGAGAAGGACATCATCGTGGAGTTCATAAAAAACGAGGACTTCAAGTAAGTTGTAGCACGATTTTTCCCGTTTTCTGGTGGTGTAATGAGTATCTGTCCAAAACAGCCGGGGATGCCTCAGTGCAGGGTTTAGCTCTCATTGGGCCCTGATAAACTTACTCAAACCCAAGTGTTTTCTCTTGCCTTTGAAACTGCTCTCCTTGTCATTTGTGTTTTGAGTGGCTTGCACTCGTGGTATGTGCTTTTCGTGGTAATAAACCTCTGCCTGAACTATTTGGAACAAGGTACACAGGGAGCCATGTTAACCTAATTTTTCTTTGGCTTTATTGATGATACACCCATACAGACATTATGCATATATATATATATATATACATATATATATGTATATATATATACTTGACTATATTTCTTTTTCATAAACTTGAACATGTGAAGGAGGAAATCTAAATGGCTGTGTATTCTATTTAGTGTACTGATTCTCCTCACAAACTTATGGGGAAAACTCCTCTCTTGTCCCAGCTGCTACCTGTGCAAAAATCCCAGGTCCATGAGGAGGTTTCCTTTCCAGGTATGTCCGAATGCTTGGAGCGCTGTACATGAGGCTGACAGGCACTGCTATCGACTGCTACAAGTACCTGGAACCTCTGTATAATGACTACAGAAAAATAAAGAGTCAGAACAGAAATGGGGGTAAGAACTCCTGCTTAGCTGTGGTTTCTTAGTAACTCTTTTGTTCAACTATCACGCTCAATAAAAGTAAATGTTCTGTTTAGCAATATAAACCTAAACAACTGTGGCATAAGCAGCCCACTGGAGTGTTTCATCTTTACTCTAGCCACTAATCTTGTCTCTTAAATGCTGTTTCTCACCTGCAGAATTTGAGCTGATGCACGTGGATGAGTTCATTGACGAGCTGCTCCATGAGGAACGTGTGTGCGATATCATTCTGCCTCGCTTGCAGGTTGGGGAAAGTAGATGGTTATGGAATTCTTAACTGCATCAGGTTCAGGAGCTGTATCAGCTACTGGCTTGTTGTCTAAGCTCTGGATGCCTCCTCAGGTGTTTGTTCTTATTTGGGTTATGTTGGGTAAAGCTGCCATTTCTCCTAGAAACGGTATGTTCTGGAAGAAGCTGAGCAGCTTGAGCCTCGTGTTAGTGCTCTGGAAGAAGACATGGATGATGTAGAATCTAGTGAGGAGGAAGAAGAGGAAGATGAAAAGGTCGGTGAACTATTTTGGGAAGGGATAGTAAAAGCTGAACCGCTTTAGAACACTTTATGGTCTACAATATATTTGAGGGGAGGCACCAGGAGGCTGCTGGCAACTCTTGCCTCCCCCCATAAAATATTTTCATCTAAGCAGCTTGTGAGGATTTGTTAGATCCTGAAGCAGTTCTTGAGTGCTCTGTGTTTGTTAAGCTTTTCTGTCTCCTGAACTTCACAAATCTGCATCTGTTCTGTGTTAAATATATTTCAGGTAAATTGTTTTACGTATATGTGTAATGGAAAGAGCTGAAGGTGATGATGAAAATTATGACCATCACAGTCACTGCTGCTGTAGTTCTTCAGAATCAGCAGTATGAGAAGTGGCTGTTTTAATCTCCAGTGGGCAGGTTTAGGCAGAACCCACTCACATGAGATACCTGAGGATGGGGAAGCTTGACTGCATGACTTTTGTAACTTACATTAATTGTTCAGAAATATTTACTGATAGCTAAAAACCTTGATGAAACAAGGCTTAGAGAACCTGCCCCCTCCTTGTTTCCAGCTGGAGCGAATACCATCTCCCGACCACCGGCGCCGGGGATACAGAGACCTGGACAAACCCCGCCGATCCCCCGTGGTGCGGTACAGGCGCAGCCGGAGCAGGTCCCCAAGGAGGTGACGTGACCCTTCCTGAGCAGTCTTTTCACCTGTTCTGCTGCAGGTGGCTGGAGCACAGAGGTGAAGGTGGCAGTTCAGCCAGAACCTCTCACACATGCCAGTTCCTTTAGCCACTTGTTAAAGTAAGGAGTTGCAGTGCACGGCCACTCAACTCCTCTGCCCGTTTCTCCAGTCCTTCAGTAACTCCTGAACTTGCTGGCCAACTTTAGCTGAATTTGACAATGCAGTGAGGATGTTAAGGAGAAACAAGTGCTTTGTTTTCAGGTATGCCTAAGGTTGCAGAGAAAATCCTGGTAATTCCTCTTACTGACAATAAGCCAGGAAAAACTCAGCACTAACCTCCCTTGCTCACTGCAGGGGCCAGTCCAGAAGCAGGTCCTTGTGCAGCAGGCCAAGCACACACTGAGAGGGGTAGGGGAAGCCCTGGTGCTGTTGCTGGAGGATGAGGGAAATGAAACAGCTGGTTCTGTTCATGATTTTTTGTAATTTTTGCTTTCCTCCCCCTATTGCAGGCGAAGTCGCTCTCCAAAGAGAAGAAGGTAGAGTTTTATTCTGTTATTTAGTCTTAGAACGTGCGCATTTTTAGTCCAGCTCTCTCACAAGCGTCTCTCTCTCAGCCCATCACCGCGCCGGGAGAGGCATCGCAGTAAAAGCCCGAGACGGCACCGCAGCAGGTCCAGGGAAAGGCGCCACAGATCCAGATCGAAATCTCCAGGTATTTCTGTCACCTGCAGATTAACTCTAGCAAGTCTTTATCAGCAGAATATCCACTGCAAGAAAGATCTATGTCACCAGCATCAGTGTTTAATCTGGCTGACAAAAGTGCTGGTTACATGAAAACACAGCTGGAGAAGTCCTTTAGTGCAAGTAAAATTGCCTTGAGCAAGTTTTCAGATGACTGCCACGAGGTTCATTTGAGTGCCTAATTAAGGCTAGGGTGGTTCTGCCATTATCCAGCACACTTGGTCACTAGGAGCAGATTGAACTGGCAAACAAAAAAGAATTCTGGGGTCTGTGGAAGTAACTGTACCTTTTTATTTCACAGGGCATCACCGAAGTCACAGACACAGAAGTCATTCCAAATCACCTGAAAGGTAAAGGCTTCACCTATTTCTTAAGGGTATCTGTATTGCTGTAGCAGCTCTTCCTTGTCATTTAATCTTGGAGATTGAAGGTGGCTTTATATAGTGTTGGAGATCTACTATTTCACTGAGTGCTTCTCTCAGTGTTGTAAAGTCACACCATCCATATCTGACTGCAGGAAACACCCCTTACTGCTAAGACTCACCTTGGTCTATGAATTACTGGTACTGTGTCAGAGAGCTTTTTTTCTGTTTCAGATCTAAGAAAAGTCACAAAAAGAGTCGTCGAGGGAATGAATGACAAACTAAACCCAGCACACAGTTTAAGGACCTTGACCTGCAGTCTAATGCTGTCCCATCTGCTTTATGGGACAGCTGGATCTGTACTGGCTGCTTGAGCAGCCCATTTCTTCAGTCACTCTCCTCTTGTTCGAGTCTTGTTTGGTGTTGGGATTTTTTTATTAAAAGAAAGTTAAGGATACTTTTTATGTAGTGAGCTAGTCATCCTTGGGATAGAATTTGAGGATTGTTTTTTAAATTGTTTTCCTCGAGGCCCATAAAAGCTAGTGAAGAGCAATAAAAAAGGTTTGTCTTTCAAGGCTCCTGGCTGTTTCTTTCGTAATACGGTGTGTAGATGTTCCCTTTTGAAGCTGACACTGCAGAGCCACCAGCCCTGAGCTATCTCAGAGCTCCAGTACAGGAGGGGAAAACAAGACTGTCAAAAGCCAGTGAGTTTACAAACAACTCCCTCCAAACTGCTCTCCAACACGCAGCTGTCACGGACTCCTTTGTAAAAATCACCCTCATGTTAATCTGCTGCTTCTGCTGCCTCTCAGTTTAGAGGGTTCAAGTAGTACAAAGTGCTTAATTCTTTCGGGGCAAGAAGTTCAATGTATTTAAAGACAGCAAACCACGATGCTGAACAGAGTTTGTAGCCTCCCTGCCTATGCCACTGATCTCAGGTCTGCCTTCTCTGAATCAAGTCAGCTGTGGGCAAGTGCCTGGTTTTTAAACGTAGAATAATTAAGGTCTTACTGAAGTTGCAGTTCTCATTATAGCACATTTAATTCTGTATCACAGGAAATCAGTTTTTTAAAAGCCCCTGTGTATCACATCTTTATTGACAGCCTTGTTTCAGGAGCAGGGACTGGCAGGTTTATCCCTGCATTTAGGGCTTAGGGATTTTCATATATTGCCCAGTGACTCCTGATAACACAGAGTATGCCCGGGGAATTTATGGAAAGTCCTCTTTAAAATTACTTCCCAGTACAGCAAGAATTTTCCAGAGTAGCTGCATATTACTTTGCAACGTTAATGAACAGAAAAGCAGGTGTGCTCTTCCCTCAGGAATTTCCAAGACACACACAGTGGCTGTGAACACCACATGGAACAACTCCAGCATGGACAAAAACAGGCTTACTGCTTGTATGACTTGTTTAAGATGCTCATCTTTTTAAGATCTTTAAATTTAAGCCATTTTTGTTATTCTAGTTTCTTAATTCCACTTAAAGCAAGCATGCATACAAATAGGGAAAGAGGAAAAAGTTTTATGTCCTTTTTTTGCAGTTTTATTTTTCTTTTAAAAAGTTTTTTTGGCACTACATAGTTCTGTAAAGAATAGAAGTGACAAATTTTTAAACACATGAAATCCCCTTCTAATTTTATTTTTTTTTAGAACAATATATATAAAGTCTGAAGCAACCAAAGTATGAATACAGCTAATAGAAAATAAAGAACTTAATTTTAAAAATTCTCTCTCTTTACAGTTTATCAAGATAAAACAAAACACAATTCCCCTTAAAAATAGGGTAATAAAATAGATGAAATTTGTATCACTCAGTTTTGTGATACTAGTAAAAACTATAGTTCATATCTATGTACAAATGATACAGTTTAAAAACAGTCTTAAATAATCTTGTATCTAAACATGTTGCATTAAGATTTTAAATCAGAACCTGAATTTCTTCCTCCCCCCCCCCCCCCCCCATCCCATTGACTTTCACTTTTTCTGTTGAATGTAATTCAGATTCAAGTGTGGGTGTCCTTGAGACAGAAGCGGGAAACGCTGGTTACTCTGCATCAGTGGACCAGCTAAAAGAAAATGGATCACAGTTACTTCAGCAAATCCAACATGTAACAGTGCTTGGCTACATTCAGTGTACTAATCTAACCTAGAAATAAAGCCATTTACTAGACTGACACAAATGCTATCTGTACAACTAACCCATTTAATGGGACAATGCAGTATTACTTTAATCCTATCTCCAAAATTCCCTAAGAATTACCAATACATCATCTTGCTGCATTACTTCATATATTTAAGAGAAATAACTTCAGGATAAATTTAGGGGTTTGATAAATCAGATAAATTTAAGTTTCACTTGGAAACCCTGCTACAGTCAGCAGATTAGATTTCCAAAAAGGATTTGCACCGGTATCTCATTTTACACCAGGTGACCCAGCAACATGTCACTGCAAATCCTCCAAGGCAAATTTGGGCATCATTTCTCTTGTAGGGGAGGTCTTTTTCCTACAGCCCTTCCCAATCCTGCCAGCTGGTGAACAGCTCTGACTTTCACTGGCATCAGACAGAGCTGAGATAAAGTCACTCCTTCGGAGTACCCTGACTGACTGAACCTGACCTAACTCTGACAGCACCTGGGCTGCACTAGGTAACCTCCAGAAGCCCCTTCCAACCTCAAATTGTTCTATGGTCTTGCAAGTTTTTATCTAGATAAGTCATTCCACAAAGCAAGGCACAAAAGCCAAATCAAATTAATTAGGACAGATGAAATTTCTTCATATTTTTAACATGCTCAGGGGCCAATCATCTTGGCAATCATCTGTTGAGGCAGAGGTGGCTCTGCAGTGAGATAGCAGCAAAGGAAGAAGAGGCCAGAAGTGCACCAGACTGCAACTGGCTCAGATTGCAGAATTTGATTTAACCCCTTCCCTCCCACAAGGATTTGCATCCCTCCATCCATCCATCCATCCCTGGAGGAGGCTGATTGCACTGTAGGATTCATTAGGGTTCCAGGGAGCCTGGCGGGTGACACGTGATTGCTGGGCTCTGAAAGCCTCGGGGACAGCACAGAGACACGTTGCATGAGCTGGGGATGCACAAACTAGTTCTAGTACCTTGAGGGTAGAAAGGTTTGTTCGGTGGGTAGCTGGCATTTCCCTGCTGCATGTAGTTCTGAGGCATATTGTAAGGCCACGCTCCTCGGAGGAGAGGAAAATGGGTAGGGGTCCCATGGTCCCAAGGGACAGAAGGAGGGTTCATTTTACCAAACTGTCCTTGGAAACCCTGATCTATTTTTCAATCGAAAGGGAAAAGCACATTGCAAGTTGAAAGAATTAAACAGTAAGTCACAAATACAATTTACATCTTAAAATAACAGTTTGTAGAGGGGACTTAATGGGATTAGTCTGATGTCCTACTTTGTTTTTAAATATACAGCAATAAAAATTACCAACTAAATTACTTCTTAATTTGCTATAATAGAATTTATTGGGGAAGAAGAGAGAGGATGAATCAGTATTAAAATCAAGACCTACGATTTCATTATTCCTATGTCATTCTCATGATGATATACAAGGTCTGAACAATGTTACTACTGTCTGATCCCACACAAGCATCCACTGACATGAAAGCTATTAATTATCCTACTGCAAGAAATAATTCTCAGTAGTACACTGGAATTCCACTAATACCTATATGCTTAAGAAACTTGCTATCTAGATCATCAGACCAATTAAAAATTGATTCTTAAAAATATTAAAATTGATTTTTAAAAATATAATTTGTGTGCTTATTTCCAAAGTTTGTAAGCTATTCCGTTTAAAATTCCAGCATCACTGCAACATTAAGGATGAGAAATCAAGCATTCAAGGAGGCAGGACACACAACATGAGGTGTAGCCCTGGAGTATGCATGAAAAAAAGTTGTGTTTGAAACTTCTAATGATCCTACCTCTTATCAGTTGTCTACTGAAAACAAAATTTAAGCAGCTCCTTCCAACTCAAGGTTATGTGAGCCAAGACCAAGTTTCCAAAAACTTACTGTTCTTAAATTGTCCCCAGACAAGTAAGAAACCAACCCAGAGAGAGAGGAGACAGCTCATCTCTACTGGGCATCCACCCAGTGACCTCAGCTGAGGGGCAGCTAAGCCAAAAAAGAAATAAAACTGATTAAATACAAGGAGGAGAAATACTGTGACTGGGAAAAGGAGGGTGATGAGGTTGGATATAGGGGGAAGATGAGGGATGGGAAAAAAAATACCGTGACTGACAGCATAAGAAAACTGGAGAATGGAGAAGGAAATAGAATTTGTGGAGCTTGTCTGAAAGAAGGCAAGGAGACCTGGATTGGATGGAGCTGCCTGAGGAAAAGTCAGTGCTGGGGTGGACATGCAGAAGGGGACAGACAGGCCTGGACAGAGAACTAAGATCAGAAATGGAGAGGGAGGGACACAGCACACTGGAACACAGAAAACACAGGGGGAGCAGTTTCTGTATCCTCTAAAACACATTCCCCACAAAGTTTTGAATAGAAAATCATGTATCTCCTGCACCTTAACATGTATTTGAAACTCATTGGTGAATTACTCCTCACACTGTTAACTCAGCTGAAAATCTCCTGTTGCTGTTAATCGCCCTCCTAGTGCAGAGAAGGGCTGGCAGAAGACTCAGAACTTCCACCTTGTGAAGAACTGCCTCATTATGTTGTATGAGGGATGTGTTTTTTTTAAACACAGGAAGAATTACACACTCAGAATAAATCAGGAGCCCATTCCCATGATTTACAAATAGCAGTTAACATTTAGGGGCTGCCACAGTTCATGTTGCAGAGAAAACTGAACAGGCTGTAATTATCATATACTGCTTTTTCTCAGCCTCAAACACACTTGGCTCTGCTATGAGGTGAGAGGCTGTTGCCCACTTGTTGCAGGAAAATGTATTTTACCATATGGAAGTTGAATTTGGCAGGATAAACTCCAGGAACAAAGAATGGATAAGATGGTGTGACACTGTCCTCAATGCAAGGAGGCAACATTCAACCTGCACAGCTCTAATCCTGCCAGTCTCTAAGTTCTGGTTGCCATCTCAGCATTTATCTAATAAACAATGTAACAACATACTGATCCTGGGGGGCTTGTCCAACCTCAATGTTTCTATGATTCTGTAATACCACAAAACCACCATTTATCAGCATATCCACAGCAATGTGCTTTAGACTCAAACAGGGATTAGGCCATTTCTCAGTTGAATGCAGATTTCTCATTGTTGCACAGCCATAAGGGCCGACAGGACCAATGCTTGAAAGTCACAGTTACAGAACCTGCCTAATTTTTCTTTTTTCCTATGAAAATGTTAAGACACTGAAGGTTTAGTTTCTTAAGCATCATATTTAAAAGAAGTTGCAAGAGTTAGCTGTTCCTGTAACACCTAATGCTGGTACACAAAGTGAGAGGGGTTTGATACAACAGAGAAGAGTTACCTGAGTTCCCCACAGTGCCATTGTTCACCAGTGAGTTTGGAGTCACAGGATTGTGCCAGTGTCCCTCATGAGAAGTGCTGGGGATTCCCATGGGCCTGGCAGCAGGCTGTGCAAAGATGATACTGGGATCATTCAAGCTTACACTGCTCTGGTTGTTGGTGGTGCTGCTGCTGCCAGATCTCATCGAAAACGGGACATTGGTCGAATGAGGAGGGTTACCCGGGGCTGAGTGAATAACGGGCCCGTGAATGGGCCAAGAAGTGTTGGGAAGCTGAATTTGGTGATGGTGCATCTGAAGCAGTCCCAGGTTATGCAAGGTGGAATACTGACCTGGGGGAGATTGGGGAAAGTTAAACAAAGGCAGCTGGACCTGATGGGGTGGCTGAGCACCCTGCTGTGGCTGTGGAACGTGCTTAGACTGGGATATTGGTTGTGGTTGAGTCTGGTTAATGGAGGCTGGCTGAGAGGAGTTCTGGGTAAACTGCTGAGGTTGTGGAGAGTAAGATGATTGATGAGAATCAGACTGGAGGGGAAAAAAAAATGTATTTCTGATTAGTTCACTACTTATTTAATGGTGGTTTTTAATAAGCACCCACTCTTTTAGAATATTCATAAAAAAGGAAAAGCCCTCCCCAGCAACACCCCAAACACTGCACCCAAGTTCCTGCTGGTTTCAGTAAGTGCAGTTCCACTGACACTGACTTTCACCAACAGACAATTTGATTTGCTAATGTGGCACATCCCACCATCAGAAACATCATTGTGAGCAAACATCAGCCCCAAGCTCGTCATTCGACTACTCACACATCTGTTCCTGATTTTTAATCAGTGTCTTCCCCACCCTACTTATTTACTACAACTCAGAATCTCATTAACTGATTACCTTATTTCTAAATAGACTGGTTCTTATTACTACACAGTTTTTTAAGTAATTCCAAAGCTCCTACCATTTCTTTCATTTTTTTTTAAAATCTGTTAAACAAGAAATGCAGCCTTCCCAAAACCCAATTTCAACCTTCATAACCTGATGTTAGGTATCTCACATGAAATTTGACTTTGAGGTTTCCACACTGAAAAGCCATAAATGCTCTCCAAGAGCCACTGTTACAAATCCAAGTTTCCTGAAGTGGCAGAGTGCAATGCTGTCATTGGAAAGGCCAGAATCCCAGGAAACACACCTCAAGCTGCTCCCAGCATGGCTGGTTTGCTCCAGCCCACTCCAACCCCCAGGTCCCTGAACTTACACATTCCGAGGACTGTCTGGTGCGCAGGGGCCGCTCCACCTGCTGCTGGCTCACGGCCACCAGCTGGGAATTCACCATGCTCCGGACCAGCTGCGTGCCTGAGCAGGGAACACAAGTGTCAGTGCAAACCCCAGCTGACAGGTGACACAGAATGAACAGAACTGGGCGGCAGCAGTAACTCGTGTGATAGAGGAAGTAAATCACTTTAACCTCTCCTTTAAGTGAACACCTGTCCCTCTGCTGGCAACAGACAACATTAACAGGTACGGCACCTAAATACAAAATCTATTTCTGAGTAAAACAAATTCTAGCACGAAAAGGCTCACTTTGCTATCAGGTGGGTTTCCACACTACTACTGTAAGCAGTGGCATTTTAAATAGCAACAGCAGAAACTTCTGGGCAAAGAAAGTAAAGGAAAATAAAAGAGTAAAGGATAACAGAACAGAGAAAAGAAGCCAGGTTCCCTCTGAAGTTCATTTCTGAGTGCTTCCTCTACTTTCTCAAGTAGCACAGCCACCTAAGAGCCTAAGTTGAATAGGTCTGCAATTAGACTAAATACTAAGTCTCTAAGTACTATCAGGACCTGCAAAGCTGGATCTACCCTCCTAATTCATCTGTACACTTTTATGGTGATTTTTGGTGAAAATACATTTACTTACCTCTCACAGATGGTGGAGGGTTAGCTAACATTTGAGAAACATTTGGAAGAGGAAATGCATTTAATTATTATTATTACCACTTCTAAATGCACCCAGTGTGAGTGGCAGACAGGTAATGTCATACCCTGAAGTCCACTGTACTTACTGCTGAGTACAGTTTTACCACCCATGCAAAGGCTGTACTTCAGGAGACATTACTCCCCTTGAAGAAAAGTAACACTTAAACCAAAAGCAATGACTGAAAACATTAGCTGAAAGATTTTTTTTTTTAGGTTAATTACCAGGTCTGTACAAAAATGTAGAGAAAAGGAACCTCAGAACTTTCAAATTCGACTGAAAACACAAACTAACTTACCTGGCACGCTGTTATTTCTCTGACGGGTCTGTTTGAATTCAGGACAGTCTCTCCTAACATGCCCCACATCCCCACAGATGAAACACCTTTTCTCTCTTGTTTCTCTGTCATCTTCTTTCACTTCTTTTTCATCATCTTTCTCATTCTCCTTTTTCTTCAACCTGAAGAAGAATTTTTGGGAGCAATATCACCAAACCACACACACCGACCCAAAGCCCTGAGGAGCTGTTACATTGGAGTGTTCAAAGGAAATGGTTACACAACCAACAGCTGTCCCAGAACACAAATATCTTCGGAATCTGCTAGAGTAGCAGTTTGTGTGAAGAGCAGATCCCAACTCCTTTCCCTGACAACAGATGCAGGGAAAAAAATGATGCAATTCAATGTGCTAGTGCTTGTTCAGAGAGCAGCTGAAAGAAATAGTCCACCTGTGACCTCAGGGTTCCAGTCCACGTTCATGTTATCTTGAACTCTGATGACTGATTAAGAGGCTGTAAAATAAGGACTTTGTGGCAGGAAGAGACCAAGAATCCTTTAAGGAATGATGGAGCACACAACTGACAATAAGGAGCAGGTGAAAAAAGCCCAGACTGTAATCTGCATTCTAAGGGCTTCAACAGGTTTTAGGAAGAGTCAGACAACCGACACTGAATTGATCATTAAAAATGCAAAGCTGTAAAAATGAGAGGAGGGCACATTCCCTGTCAATCCCTGCTAAACTCTCTCTGGAGATCCTGACCTGCAGGTACTGGGGACTCTTTTTGGAGGAGTTCTGGATCCAAATTTAACGAATTAAATTAATGTACAAGTGCGAGATCTCCACATGACCGGCACCGATACGATGTTACAGCACCTTAAGTCTGCACATTTTAACTATTCCTGGAGCTGAATAAATGAACTTTTACCTGCCTTGTAGATCTTGTTATCAGATCTACAGAACAATTCAAATGCAACACTGTCTTCTGAACATGATCACTACAGGAAATCCATTTGAATACATGACAAATTGTGCAGCCAGGTAATATGGTCTCCATCTGAATGTTTACACTATAGAAAGATTATTTAGTGATCTAAACTTTAAGTTAAGCTTGACTACATTTTACCATATTATAGACTTGATTTTACTCTGTATGTGCTTGCATAAGCATTCTAAGATTTAAAGAGATGATCAGAAACTGTTGTAAGAAAAGGTGGGAAATGGAGGATCAGATATGAAGCTTTGATTTTCTCTTCAATTCAGCAATTTTTTTTTCACTTTCATTAAATCTTCAAATATCCAAATCTCTTCAGATTGAATCTCCAAGATTTTATGATAGCTTTCTATATTACTCACCTCCTCCTCTTTGGACAGTCTTTCATGTAGTGACCAATTTTCCCACAGACACGACAACATCTGTCATTGGGTGCCAATTCCCCATCTGTCAGCACTTTGGAGTCAAAAAAGTATTCCTATAAAAACACATATCAGACAGATAAAATATATAAACCATTCACTGACAAGACTGAGAAACAGAAGCACAAGCGACAGCTTTCATCTCCTGTTGTTCCCTAAATGTTACAACTTCTTGGATTATACCTGGTGCTTTCCTTCCCCCAGATAATAGCAGCTTTTTCAGAGACACGGAGCAGCCTGGGCTAAAAATGGATGTTTGGTCTCAGGGTCAGAGGCTGAATTTGCAGAACAGCTCATCCAGCTTGCTGCTCACCTCCCACCTCCCCAGAGCTCCTCAGAGGGCAACTTTGAGCTATTTTGGTGTCTGAGTCACTGCTTGAATTCTTTTCAGAGCAGCCAATGTCCCTTCCCAAATGACACGATTCTATCTCCCTGGACAGAACAAAGCTCAGGTGGGGAGCAGATGGAGCATCTGCAGACTGACCTGTGTCCCTCCCCTCCCCTGGAATGTGCTCAGGACAGCTGCAGTTCCGCCCCGTGTCAGCACAAAGGCCACAATTTACAGCCTCTGAGCAAATAGAAATATTGTGAAAGTATTGCCTGAAAGACTGAGGTACAAACTCAGAAGAAAACACAGATAAAGCAAGCAAATGGAAAAGAGAAGACAGAGAAGGATGATGGCAAATAAAGGCTTTCAAAATACTTTTAGGATCCTTTAGAATTACAAGCCTAGTTAAAAGTCACTGGGAGAAAATCCTCTTAACTGTTTTAGAAAACACCTTTCTAAGTTGATGTTAAAAACACTAATTGCAGCTGATTTGCTCATATTAAGAAAAAATACAGTTGCAGATTACACTTCAACAACTGGACCCTGGATCCAGAGAAGCACCTTCTCCAATATAATGTTTCATGAACACACTTCTGACCCTGACTAACTGTGCAAATTTTGAAGATCAACTGGTAATAAAATGGTCAATCCTCATCCTTTTCCTTCCTTAAGCAGCAACTCTTATCATCCCCAATGGGAAAAATAAACAGTATAACATCTCTTGAGTGTTTGCTTTAGCTACACAAACAGCTAGTAAAGCTCCTAAAGCTGTTTCTGGGTTTTATAGCCAATTTTGCAGTTTTCTGCAATACTTAACGTCACACAAAAAGTTTTATTAAAAATAAAAACCAAATCAAGTTTACTGTTCCCCAAAATACCCGTCACCCATCCAACTACTCCTGTGAATTTTATACTGCAGGAGCCCAACACTAAGCTGTACATTTTATGCAGTGTAATTCCATATATTGTGCATACCAAATTGATAAATGTATACAAGAGATTTGCCTTGGGTGCATCAATTCAGTGGAAAAGGAAAAGTAAAAAGCACACTAAAAACTCTGAAAACTTACAGCTTCTCTTCCAACAGCTGGGTAGAATGGGGTGCCAAACAATTTTCTGCCATTGATAAATGCCTTCATTATGAAATTGGTCACTGTTGAAGGAAGACAAAGTTATTAGAAAACAACAGAAAAGGCACAACTCAGTGAAGATTAATCATTAGCAGACATTAATGGCTTACTTTTTCTAGAGACTCCAGCACCGAGATTGTGATTCAAGTCAAAAGGATCTGTGCAGAGAAGGGAGAACACCAAATCAGTGTTGGAAAATACATGCTGCAACAATCTGGTTTTGTTTTAATGCAGAGAATTCCACTCTGAATACATTCACAGAGCAGACCATAGCAAAGCAACGCTGAGTGTTCTGAAAACACGGGACTACCCATAACAGAGCAAGAAGAGTGATTCACTGACGTTTAGTGAAAGTTAGGAATCTGATCTTATTTTGGGAGCCGCAGGACTTTTTTAAAACACTGCTGGCAGCTTCCTCCCATAAAGATCCTGTGCACAGACAGCAGATTCCCCAGCCCCAGAGTTCCCTGCTCCCTCACTAAGGGCAAGGCAGTGCAGCAGAGCAGCACCTTCGATGGCGATGCATTTGGACGTCCACTGCTTCTCGAACGTCGTCAGCAGCTTCTTCTGCCGGATGCTGATCACGTACTCCTTGAAGTCGAATTCCTCCGTGTAGAACCTCAGCAGTCCCAGCCAGAGCTCTCCAAGGGATTCAGTGTTCTTCCCAAGGGAAGGCAGGCGCTTCTTCTGCAATTGGAGACACCTCATGCAGCCACAGTGACTGAAGTACTTCTGCAATGTCTAATTACGAGTCTGTCTCAACGTCTCTCTAATTACCAGTCCGTCTACCATGAATGGTTTGGTTTCAGTTAGTTAAACAAAGGTTAAATCACTACAGTTAAGACTAATCCTGGACTGTTTCTGAGAAAAAAAAGTATTTTTCCTGCTTTATGCTATTTAGAAATTACTTAAACCAAGATAAAGCAGACAGCCATTTCAGCAAAAGGGAACTCATCTGGGATGTTCTAATTATGGATATGGAAGTTTAGTACTCATATATTACACTGCTTGAAATTTATTACTTTCCCATAAAAACAAGGTTTAATTTTTAGTGGCTCTTCTGGAACTAAAGTATTACCAATTCTTCCATGTCATCAAAGAAAAAAGCATTCCATCCATCCACCATTCTCTGTGGAATCTGTTTGCCATCAAATATCTGCCAAAATAGAGAGGGCACAGTCACTACTCTTAAGTCCAAGTCACCATAAAACACTTACAGTTTTGCTGTTAAAAATAACACAAAAATATAAATATTTTAACAGTTGCTTCTTATACAGACAGAATTTCCCATTGCTAAAAAGTTTAGAAGTCTTTTTGCATTACACTGCTGTACCTCTCTCAAATTATTTGGATATTTAATTTTTACTTGTTCCTTGCAACTAAGAAACATGACTGAATTACCTTGTCAAGATTCCAACATCCCTCTTGCCCACAGAGTCTCTAAGGAGACTTTATGTGATTTCTATTACATTTTGACTTTAGCACAGCCAAGGGGAAATTCCACTGTTATTTAAATGCACTCTCAGGGTAGCAATAAAATAACAACCCCCAACCACTACTAAAGAATCAGCAAGAAAGTCTACGAGTCTCAGCTGCAATGCTTAAGCCAATTTTCCTCTTGCACAGAAAGCAAAAAAAGTCAGAAAGGGATCATTTTCAGGCGTGCTTGGGAGTTCCAGCATGTCTCCAGGAAGAGGCAGAGAGCTGTCTAATTCTATTTTCTCCACCCCTACAATGGAGGTACAGCACATTATTTTCTTAATAAAGTTTCCTGGCACACATGAAATATTAGTTTTAAAGATGTACCAAAGCGTCAATTATCTTTTTTTTTAACCCCTTACCAAATAATAAAATAAACTTTTTCTCTTACAGAGAAAGTGTTGAGCAATAAATAATGCTTCTGACAATAACTGGTTGAAGAGCTGGACTCACATTTCAAGAGCATCTGGTGCAGTCTCACAATTACAATTCCCTTCTCTCCATACCACCTGCCAATTTTTTTTCTATCCTGTTCAGCATATAAATATCATCAGGAGACTAAAATCCCAGAGTAAATGTAACAGCAGAACTCAGGCCCAACAGATCCCCAAATTTGTTCTAATTTTCTCAGTAAGTTTTACCAACTAAAACCAAGTGGGAGTTCAGAAGCTGCTAATCTGAAGGGCCCCATATTTCCTTCAAAGCCCCACCCCGATCCTAAAAGCCCAGACTTCTCATCTTTGGCTTGAAGAAAAGGTGCATCCATTTTCCCAGCCTCATATTCTGCAAACCAACCTCCTGCAGGACTGGAATAACTGGGGGGTTCCTCTGCTGGAGGAAGTACAACACCATCAGGATGTAGGCATAGGAGGACAGGCTCCCACGGGACGCATCCCCGATATCGCAGCGCTGCAGAAACACATTTCAAACCAAACACTCAATTCACAGTTTATTATTCCAGGCTAACAGCTCTGTCACAGAGCAAACAGAAACCCCACCAGTACCAGAGAATACGTTCACCTCGTAACTAAAAAATTGGTTTGTGAAGCCTGAAAAATAAATGCTCTCTAGAGTCAACTGCCATCTGGCAAATCCACAGCATAAGTGACTAACGTAAAAACAGAAAAGCTTCTCTTGGCCAAAATATTATTTTTTAAAAAATTATAATGTGCCAAATTAAAAAAAAAAACATATCAAAACCCCCAAAACAGAAATCCCAGGTTTCAACATTATAAAATTTAATTTTCCTAAACTCACATTACTCAAGCTGTTTTTGTGATTCCTCACTTTGGTTCCCCTCTCCCATTTTTTTATAAAAACAATCAATTAATAGGCAAGTATTTCCATGTTGTACTGGCAACTCAGGCAATAGGTGGCATTTTGCAAGCACATAACACATCCCGAATGAGGGATGGTCTAGACTGCCCAAACAACCCTGCCCAGGGCAGGACTTCGAACTAAAGGAGCTCTGAGGTCCCTTCCAACCCAAACCACTCTGTGAGCCTCTGATCAGGGAATTACCTTACTATGCTTGAGGATCTTATTACAGTATAACCTTTCCACAGCACCTGCATCTAAGATATCCTTTGTTTCAAGCCTGTGTCACAACAAACAACACATTTTTAACCTCCCAGGTCTGGAAAAAACAGGGATTCACAAATTACTTTCACATTAGCAGCGGCACTGACAGCTGTTCCTGGTTTTTCTGCCAGTGCAAGCAGAGGAGGAAGCATTTTGTATATACATTCAGGAGTGTACATCCCACAGCTTGGAAATTTCATCTTTAATTTTAATTTGATCTACAATTTCTAGAATGTACACAACAGTATGCAAGGCTACCAAAAAAAGGTAAGATTCATTATTATCAACACAAGGCACTTTCAATCCAGACACAGAAGAGACATGGCAATATTGTGCATTATTGTGACCACCCCAAGACAACAATCATTCCTAGTCTTGGGGACAGAATAATGAACATGTCCACTGCATTCTGGCACAAAGTTACTTTATTCATCTTGATGTATTTTATTACATGAACTTCTGGTAGCATGAAGCACTCTCCATAAGCCATTTTAGATCTGCCCCAGTTTCACTAAGTTTTCTTTGGATGTAACTGGGGAGGATATTTAATAGTGCAGCTTGAATAAAAAGCGACACCAAGTTTCAATTAGAACATCATAACAAAAGATGCAGCAGATTTGGTATTTGATTATTTCTGAACTCCTAAAGTCAGGTGTATGTCCCAGGCATGCATCACCCCTTATCCACCTACTCCTGACTTTTACATCAAGCAAAACAAGACAAATACCCCAGAAGAAACTGCAGCAATCCCTGGGCTTTCCCCAGATATGGGCACAGCACTCTATTGTCTCCTTTCCAGTTGATATTAGTAAAAGGCAAACTCAGTAGCAGCAAAACCCGTGTTGCACAAATAAGTACTTGCTTTTCCTATTACCTTTGCAAACACTTTCATTGTGTAGCCCAGATATTGCACTCTAGGGTCAATAGCTGCATACGTAGCCAGCATCCTGGTGTTATGCTGCGCCTGCAAGAAGGAGAAGTAAAATCAAACAGGTGGGAATGGGAGCCATTGTGCTGTGCTGGGGGAAAGCTGGAATGGGCTGCACTATTGCTGCTGGCAGACAGGCCCTGGGGGATGTGGCACTAACAGCTTTCAGAAGCATCCACAGGAAAAGGCTTTGTGTGCCATGACCTGCTCTGCCACCAGGGCATACTCAGCTGGGCTGAGGGTGTGAGCCACTGGCTTTAAATAAGGCAGGGAAAAAAACCCAAACACACAAAAGCATTTTCATTCTGATTTCAAAATTATTCCCTCAAATGATTACTTGAGTGAGGCAGAAAGGATGAAAAAGCTTTCTCTGAACATACAGCCAAGCAGATGCTCACCAGTGTATTGTATAAACTGATATCTCCCTCTAAGCCACTCCGTCTGTGTTCAAACTTCACTATAGGCACTTTGGCTGTTGTTATAGGCAAGATGTTCCTCAGACCTGGGGAAGCAACACTTTAGTACATAAAACGCTTCCATTTACTACATTTATAGTAAATCTGACTACAAAACAAATGGTATTTTAAAGCACCTACCTGGATGCTTCTTAAGAACTTTTGCCAAACCTTCTATTATTTCTTTACAGTTTAACTTCTAGGAAAAAGAAATATCACAGCTTCAGAGATTAAAACACGGATTTTATTCCAATAAGCACGTTTATTATCACATATATTTCATAGAGGAGAAGTCCATGTACTGGCAATAAGCAAGCACATGGATTTAAATAAACTGGTGACTGTGTGCTCTGTGGGGAGATCTGCAGTGTCTATAAGGCTTTAAAGTAAAATAGGCTTTATCTTGCTTCAGTTGTGCAGAGTGCAACAAGGCAATGTGCTCCCTGCAAATCCTACCTTTTCTGTGGATAGAAATCTTAACCGAATTAAAAAAATCTTAAAGAATTCTTGATTTTAAAATAGCAGATTTCATCAGTTTCAAAACTCTCACCTCTGCATTTTCATGGCCTTCCAGTGTCATGCAGATGTCGAGGTCACTGTCCCGAAATCCAAATCCATTCTTTGAGGAGCCAAATAAGCAAAGCCTGGCTTTGTCTAATCGAAAGAATACACAAAGAAAAGTAAATTTCATCACAGCTGAATGGTTAAGTGCTTACTATGCAACATTGCTTAACTGCAATGTGCAAGGGGTCCTAAAAATGAGCTTCAAGAGAGCTTCCAATGTCACTTCAAAGACTTCAGCTTTGACAAAGGAGGAACCATAATACTTAAAAAATTATTTACAGAAAGTAAGGCAGGATAAAGCCCATGTAATTTTTTATGACTGAGGTGTATTACAGTTACTATAATCACTAAATGGCACCTCTAAAGGTGGTGCAGTGTATGGGACAGCACTTTGCTGTTTTAAATAAATCAAAATAATATGCAAACCCAGTCATCAGTACAGCTTCACCCTAAAGATAAGACAGAGCCACTCTTCAGGCAACCCAAACAAAATTTCCAGTTCCACTCATCCTCCTTCTACGTTGTATATTTTTCCTGTGCCAAGGTAGATTTGGTCAAAGAGTAAGGTTTTGTAATCATAACATACTCTCCAAGAAGATACAAGCAGTAAGATTACTGTACTTTATGAACATTCTTTCCCAATTGCTTTGCTTACAACACAGTATTGCAGTGTCTTTTCAGTTTTGTAAAGGAAAGGAAAATTATGTATTTGAGAGGAATTCCTTCTGTAAAGAATATATTCTTCTGTTCAACTGAAACTACTGCTAGGAAAATATATCTAACACCTATCCACAGCTTTTTTCCTAACCTTTAATAGAATTGGAAATTCTAAGTCTTTCAAGGCTTTGTAAGAGGTCTCAATCCCCAGCTGCTGCCAGTAAGTGGAGGCCCAGCCAGTGGATGGAGGTGGAATTCACAATTCTTGATGACAGGCCAAATATACAGAATGGATGGCCTTCCCTGGACTGGAATTCAGGACACCTGGGTTTGGTACCTGGCTCTAACACTGTTTTACACAACCCAAAAAAAATCACTTTGCATCTCTGTGCCTTGACTGCCATCACTGCAGCAAGACACCTTCGCCTGTTTTACAAAAGGAACGTGAAGATAAACTCACTGAAAGTTCTAAGACACTTAAACACTGGTGACTAAACAACAACAGCCCTTGGCCCACAACCAAAGCTAACACTAAACCCAACCAAACTTTCTTTCTGTCCTGACTGCACCAGTCCTGTGTCTACTCTACTACTCTGGCAGCTCCTCCTCCACTCTGGGGACATTTCCATGGAACAGCGTGAAGGGATGTTCAGTGTGAAGTCTACAAGACAGCTTTCCATACAGAGGGAAAAGAGGTGCCACTGCTTAAAGCAAGGAAAATAAAAGGAGACCAATCACATCTTCATGCTCTGGACACCATGACTGAAGAAAGCATCACCGAGAATCCCCACCTCCTCTTACATACCATTGTACTCTTTTCGAATGAATCGTTCCAAACTTGCCAGTATTTGTTCTCTGTTCTGTTGCTCAGATAAAGGAGGGGATAATTCATCTAAGTAAAGACAAGTTAAAACACAGTCAGATGTGAAACTCAACTACCTCTACAATCTTTTTCAGCTAATTAAAAGATTGGGATTTTTTTCTGTTATGTTAGATTTGCTTAAATGTGCATTTTTCTTTTTCTATCGTTAGAGTCTTCAGGGTTCTATTTCAAGACATCTGATTTTACTGCAGTTATTCAAACACAGAGTGGCCTGGTGGGCACTTGGTATCCAGCCAACCACCACAGTACCCAAAAGGGCCTTTTCCCAAAAGACACCACAGATCGGAACAAGCACAAAAATCAGTAACTTTTACAGACCCTGTGAAAAATCCCACAAAATGTTAGTTTTTCAAATCTGTTACAAGGTTATCACAACCAGGAATTATGTGAAAATTAAAATACTGATCAATTTGCAGCCTAGGGCACCTGGAAGAGCTTCTCCCTCCTGAATTATAAGTAATTGTAAGTAAGTAATTAAGCCATACAGTTTTTAATTTTTCCAGGTTACAGATCACAGCATACAGGGGAGTACAAACACTTCCTGAACTTACCAAAACATCTTTTACACACTATGTCAAGTATTTCCCGAAATCTGTCTGTCATTGGTGGTAGTGGTTTTAGATCAATTTTCTTGAAATCCTCTGGGCAGTCATTTTTGGAATGTCCATCCCGTTTGCAGATGCTGCATACTATAGTTGGTGGCTTTTGGGGGGAAAAAAGAAGCACACAAATGCAATTTTTTACTTCGAAGATAGTTCAGCAGACCTAACAATTCCAAATAACCGAGAACATTTAACATATGAACAACAACAGAGCCTCTGAAAAGAACACAGCACATCTCAGTAGGCTGCATTTAGATCTCAAAGTGCCTAAAAGCACCTGGAAATTCTGCAAGTAAGTAGGAAAGGAAAAGGAAAAATAACCCACAAAACAAACAAAAAATAAAGCCCAGGATCTGTGTGTGTGTGTGTGTGTGTAAACCAAAAAGCTTTGCATAAGAAGGGGCAACACACCATCTATTCCAAATGGGGCACAGGTTGGTGTCCTGCAGTCCTGAATAACAGGTTCTCTCCAAGGGCCATTCCCAACACAGGGTGGAAGAACCTCCCTGCCGACCCTCTGCCCACAGTCAGAGTGATTCCAGAGCCCCACCCCCTGCCCCAGGGCCAGCAGCGCTCACCTTTCCCGAAGTAAAAATCAACTTATCGAACACGTAATGCATTTCCTCTGGGGAGAGTCTGCCTTCATCTTTGAGATCGCGGGGTTCCCCCCCTGCGGCGCAGAGGGGCGAGGTAGCTGGTGTGCCAGTGCACGTGGGCTGCGCCGACGCCTCCGCGCCCGAGCTCGGCCTGCTCTCGGCGTCAGAGAAGTCATTGCTCGAGTTGGTGTCCTCAGGCTGATGTTCCCTGCAGTTACAGTGGGGGCTGAGCTCACCTTCAGTCACGCAAACTGAGATTTCTAAGTCGTCCCTCTCCTGTGGTGATTTTTGCTTTAATTCACAGCACTCGTTAGAAATGAGGGATAAAGCTTCTTCTTTGTCTTCATCGTAACTGGAGTCCAATGCTGGAAGGAGCAAAGAGTCCACGTCCTTGGAAGTACAACTTTTGGCTACAGCTTCACCCACTTGATTACATTCAAGTTCATTCTCTGGTACGTTACATCCACTTTCTATATTTTGTTTATCTACAACATTTTCCTCTTGTGGAAGGCAACAGTTTGCTACGGGCTCTTCAGATCTCGTGGATTTCTTATTATTAATTTTCCCTTTTTCTTTTTTCTTGGTATCTGGCTTGGATTTAATCCCATCTTTACTTTGTGGACACGCAAAATATTTATATGCTGTCCTAAATCTCTCCAGGATGTACTCAAATACCATCTGGCTATTTAGACTTCGTGCAACATTCCTCTTAAGTGCAAAAGGATCTAGGAAGAAAACAAAACAGAAAATTTTCATTAGTAATCTTTAACTTCTACATTCCACAAAAGCAGCTGAAATCCCTAAATTATTATATAGCAGTTAAACAGAGATCCAGAACTGTTTTGGATATACTTAAGAGGATGTGAGGCCCACAAGTTTGTTTTAGAATCCTTCCATACAAATCACACTCACGTGCAGCCATGAATGGCTGACTGTTGTAAACCATTCTAAATAATGTTATTTAAAAAGAAAACCCAGGATATATTGTACCCTTATAGTATGAGCAATTTCTAAACTAGAAATTAAAATGAACACACGAAGGCCAAATAAAAATAGGCCTGCTAGAACTTTTCTTCCTCCACTGAAGCAGGATTTGCATTTCCCTTAAGAAATTATTTGTCTAAGAGTAATATTAAAGTTATAAGGATTACATGAACCAACCTCACCAGGTTTCATTCTCAGTCCTTCCTAGTGATTTCTAGAACAAACATGTTTTCCAAGCAAAAAGAGCACCTGCATAGTTGCTATAAGTCTGCCTGGGAAGACAGTACCAAACTGAGATTCTGTTACTTCATAACTTCAACTACAAACTTAACATTCAAAAGTCAAAAATGAAAGATTAAAAACCATAAAACAAACAAAAACAACACAAAGAGACCAATCAACAGCAAGTGTCAGAACCAGAACGTAATCTGGGGTTTTTTGAAAGGATTTCCTGTCATTTAAATCCCACACATCCAACACATGTTGAACAAACACTACTCTAATTTTACTAAACTCTAACTAAAAGTGAAGAAAAGAATTAGGAGAGGAAATTAAACAAGCTTGTTTTGTCTGTTTTACTTTTCCTTCTCACTCTTCTTGTACCTTATTGACTCATCCTTCAATGCACCTTTAGCACCTCATTCTCTGTCTGTCTGATTCTCTTTGTCCTCTCCATCTCCTCAAGTGTTACAGATAAGCCACTTCAGCAACATCTCTAGAAAGTGTTCAAAAGTCATTATTTATGCTTTTATAAAAGTTATCACCTTACATGGTTTCTTAACCTTCCTCAAATACCCAATTTCTCTATCCTTAAGGCCAATTCAGAATGCCATGCATGGCTCTGTGACTTGCCCTGCTTTTTGAAACAGGGAAAACTTGTCTTTAAACAGACTAAATAACTGACAAAATATAAATTAAAAATAACCTTATTCTCCAGACTTCTTGAAACAGACTGGTAAGTGTCAGGTAAACACAGAAGATAATTCAGGGTGAGAACAGTAGTAGAAAAGATGGTCCTACCTTCGATGGCTATTCGCCTTTTCGGCCAGTTTTTATTCTCTCTGGTTAAGAGCTCCTGTACCCGTATGCTGATGACATATTCCTCCAAAGCGAATTCCAGTGTGTAAAACTTCAACAGTTCCAACCACAGTTGCCCCAGGGAAACTTGGTGAGGGGTTTTGAGTGCTAAGAGAGACTGAAAAACATGGACAAGAATGCTCAGCTTCAATAAGAAGACTGGTTCCACTTTATGTTTAGAGATGAAAAAACAGGGATAAGAGGTAGTAAATGGTTTTCAAAGAAATAAAGCCATGACTTACAATCCCATGTTTCTCCTTTCCATTACTTTGGTTGTCCACTTCTGAGCTTGCTGCCTTCTTGCCACCACCTTTTTGTTGTTCAACTTTAGCTTTACTTTCTGCTCCCACCGAGTTTTTTGCTGCACCGTTTGTTGGGGGTTTGTACTCCCACCTGACGAACTCATCATCTTCCACACCCTTCAGCTGGTGGTCATCTGGCCTCTTGGAATCAAACCCTTCAATCTAACAATAATTAAAGTACAAGACTGTATGCAATACATACAACCAAATGTTTTCACCAAAGGTAACACTGATAATTATGGTATTTATATTCTTCAAGAGTAGCTGGTGTCAGAGGAATATATTCAGAGAACTAAAGAAGAAAATAATTGCTTTTTGTCTAAAACACAGCATGACACAATTGTAGGGGCTACAGCAACTGCCATTTTAAAAAAGTCTTCAGAATCATCAAGCATCATCTCTGTGACGATTAATTACCAACGCATTTAATTTACAATTTTCTTTGGCAATCAAATTCTGCACATTTTACGAGCTTGCAGAGCACAGAGATGATGTCAACAATTTAACAATAAGGTTCCTATATCACCAAATCACTTACCCAATTGCCCAAATAGGATGGTAAAATACGTGGTTTTCTTTGTTGAAGAAAAAATATCACCATTAAGGCAAAGGAATATGAGGGAATGCCACCTTCAGCCTGACAGTCAATGTGGCAGAGCTGCAAGAGAATAAATAATTACTTCTCTGATGTAACACCAGCATTTTAATTTATGATCTGTTATAAAAAGGACAAATACCACAGAAATGTGAGAAACAGAGTGAAACAGCAAATCCTGTCTCTCAGGAACTGCAGTCACCATGCCACGACACACACAGACAAAATACAAACTACAGGAGTTCATACAGAGCCTTAAGTTACACTCGAGAGAAGAAATGACCATCAGAAGCACTGGGGATAATTCAATGACTTACTCTAGCCCAGTAGCGGAAAGCCAAAACCAAGGGGATAAGGACGGGCTCCAGTTTTCCAAGAGCAGCCAGCAGGTCAGTTGTAAGGCAAGCCACGTCATTCCTAGCACTGACTTTACACGTCAAACCACTGCAATTATAAACATGAAACAGGTAAAGGGTTATCACTCTGTGGATACAGATGATGACTGGGGGAAGGTGGGACATCACACCCACCATAACAAAAACAGGAGTCAGCGTCTCCCTATGTAAATAGAACCTGAATTTCTGAAACAAAAGCTACAGAATATAATTACGTTTTCTTTACTGTTAACTCATCTAGAACTTACAGAAGTTCGTGACAGCTAAAAATATAAAACAGCAATAAGGATTTGTTCTAAGTTCTGCCATTACTTAACTGTGCTATCTTCCACGATTCAACCTCCAAGTATATTGTCTACATTCCAAACACTGAAACAAATAAATAAATTAATACTCCAGACTTGTGGCATATTAAGAGTTGGTTAAGTTCACTAAACAGCTCTCTAAAAACTTTCTTTTTGCTTCTCAGAATAATTATTTCTATCCTCTTACAAACACAGGAAAAGATATATCCACCCTTGTTGCATTTACTCGCCCAGAGTTTCAATCCTTACTTCCAGCCAGTCAAGCAATCCTGTTTCATTTTGGAGGTTGCTGCTTCTTAGGAATTTACTGAAACTGTCAGATGATGTGTCCTTTCTGGCAATGTGGATCTTATAAAATGCTTTTAAAGCCTTGGCTCAAACCGCTGGCAGTGATTTTAAATAACAACTGAAAACCATTCCACTTTTCCCCCAGTTAACTCGAAGTAGAACACATATTTTCAGACTCCTACAACTAATGAGTTTTATGGAGCACAAAAACAAAGGTAGCTTTCTTTCTAGATTACACTTCCATGTATGAGCAATTCCCTTCTAAGAGGACTGTTAGCTCAGTGTTACAGCAACACTTGTCAGCAGTGCAGGCAAGAGCTGCTGCGAGGAGCAGAGCAGAGCCTGGTATCTCCCTCACCCCCCTCTGCAGTGACAGTACCTTTTAACATCTTTGCAAAAGACAACAGGAACTTTGGCATGGAAATCCGACTCCACATCCGAGTAGACAGCTAAGCAAGGAGAAAAAAACAACTCTCTGTTTCAAAGTTTTTTTACAGTTTTCCCAATTCTGTTTTTAAAACTATCATAGTTCTACCACGATTTCTCAGAAGTGCTGCATAGCTCACCAGCAAGCAATATTTTCTGGTCACTGCTGATGCTCACCACCAGAATCAAAGAGCCAGGCTGTGTTCCTGACAGAACAATGAGGTTACAAGTTCCAGAAGGCTTGTAAAAATTCTCACTCATGTTCATGAGTGGAAAGCAGCTTTGGAGTTTACTGCTTAGAATTTCTTCTACAAGAAGTTTTTTATCTGGAATTTAACACTATTGCCATAACTTCTGGCAACCTGAACTGCACTAACTGGGCTGCCATTCTCTTGCTGCAGCTTCTCATCCCTCAGTCACACAAGCACTGGTATTAATAAAAATCACATTCATAAAACTAGCTCAGACACTTTGCTTGAAAACTGATCCATCTTTTTAAGTTTACAAAAAAATGAAGCATAAAACCCTCTAAGCAGCAGATGGAATATTAAATAGAAATGAGATGCAACTAAAACTCACCACTGTTCTTCAAGATCTCAAGCACCTGGATCAGAACATCTGGCTGACTCATCTACAAAATCAGAGTAGGTCTCATTATTCAGACTATCCTATTTTAGTTTACACTTTATTTAAAAAACTACTTGAGTGACACAATGAGTAAGTAGTAACTCTACGTTCTTTCACAAAAGTGAAATCAGGTGTCAGTATTAATGAAAAAATTGACTGTATCTGCCTGCACCCTGAAACAGGTGCTAATAAATGTATCAGCCAGCTTTCTTCCAGCCCACAGCTTTTCTAGTCAACACTTCTGTTCCAGTTCGTATTAAAAGGCTCCATAAAGTTAAAACAAAACACTTCCCATATATTCAACAATTTCCATGTCAACATATGCCACTAGAAATGCACAACACCACCAAATTTAATGTCAGTGCTTTCCCAAGGGTTTTTAAAGATTACAATTTTTAAGCGTGTTTTCTTTTCTCCCCAGAAATCAACTTAAGTGGTGTTTCAAAGACAAGCATAAATAGATCAAAGGAAGGCTAAAAATTAGCACCACCTTTAGGTTTTTGTGCACAAGTGACGTGGCACACCCCATGAAAAAGGGCTCAGTTCTGCTTCCTGACTGAAGGATCGTTTCAAAATGCCCCAAGTATGACCCCAAACAGGTACCTGGAACTTCACTGTATCACACAGAGTCAAAAAAAAGGGCACGTTCAGCAGCTGTGCCTCTAACAAGAACATGCTGCTGATATCACATACCAACAGCTTCAATATTTAAAGGTAAATCATACTGGTCTGCAGGAATTTTGCACTGGAACCTGTAAATTGGGCTGTGGTATTTCATTGCAAGTGACTAAGCCATAAAGGAAAAAATGTCCCTTCCAGCCCCAACTTTAAAAGAGGGGGAATCAAGGCCTACAAGATTTTACAGTCTGAATCACGAGCACATGAAAGCACACTTATCCAGAGTCAACTATTTTCATACTGCTCCAATGCTTATTAAAAAAAAAAAAAAAAATTGGAAAAACTAAGATTGTCCAGAAAAAGGCAACCCAAGAATTCAAGTTATCTACTAAGCAACGTTAACTTTACCCATAGCACAGCTGACACCAAATCAAAGATGAGATGCTTTGTGATGTTCTAACACCATATGCCCCAGGAAGAGATGAAAGCAATGGAGTTGAAATAAATGTTGATGACCTTGATGTAAACCAGTGTCAGTTAATACAAGATAATATCCACACACCTTAGGGGGGAATTTGATATCAATGTTCACGTCGCTGGTCTTAAAAGCGAATCTGGTTAAACAGGAGCCATACATCCTCAGGGAGCAGTCTGCAGACAGACAAACAATTATTTAACAGCTACTAAATACATTTTTCTTCAGTGGATGATGCATACTTTGCTTTAGATACAGCAGCTCACAAGTGGTACTCCCAGATTAATGAACACTGAAGCCTTTCCTCTGCCCTGGGAAGGTCAGTCATTTCCACCACACACATCCCAGGAAAACAAATCATTCAAACACTGCAATTCCATGTCCAACAGCTTCCAAGCTGTTTTAAAGGATTTTTTTCCAATAGTTCTGTTTGGTTTTAATATAAAACTACCCATGAAATAGTAATAACTGTCTCTGTCTCAGTGCAGGATTTCTTGTAAAAGCTTTTGTTAACTCCAGCTCTGCAGCTCTGAGCCAGTTCTAAAATTCTGTTCACCTCATCAGCAAGTTTCTGTGCACATTCATTATGTACCATGCACATAAAACATAACTTCAGTATAATCCCAGGCAGAGTCCAGGATTCATTCCTGTGTTTGGAGTTAATACAGTTCCATACAAAGATACAGAGCGAATCTGAACTAATTAGGAAGCACCTATTCAGGAATAACATGAGCAATGTCATTCCACTCCATAAACAATAATTTATCCCACTTCATGAGACAATTTTTGTAGATGAACACTTTCCTGTAATATCTATTAGGGTCTCACATATTTAAATCAGTTGAAAATTGAGACTGTTCTCAATCCCTCCCAAATCCAACCCCTGCTCAGGGTGGGTCACCTAGAGCAGGTTGCCCACAAATGTGGCCAGCTGGGTTTTGAAAATCTCCGAGGATGGAGAGTCCACAATCTTCCCAAGCAACCTGTGCCAGTGTTCAAACAGCCTCACAGCACAAAGGTTGTCTTGTATTTTTAATCAGGACCTTTATGTGTGTTTTGACCAAACTCTCTCAATCAGAAAATTATTCTTAGAAGAGAAAATAACCTATTTTTCACTACTTAGAAACCAGTCCTCTCAAAATGAATGTCTGTATGGTTAATAATAATGATTTGAAATTATTTTCAATGGCTTTTCATAATAGTAACAATTTTTGCATAGTTCTAATGTGAGCTCAAGAGAAAATCATGCCAGAGCATTCCATGTTTTCTACTCTGCGCATTAATTCAGTTTTTCCTAATTTACAGCTTAGGAAAACACATTCACTAAAATATTGCTGAGTCTAAAAAGGAGAACAACCACCTGTCATTTACTGTTACAGGCTCCCCTTCCACTACCCCTACACCTCCACAGAAGTTCATCAGTTCAAACAAGTCAGCCAGACAAGTAACAGTAAAATAATAGTATTTATGTTAAAATGTTATGTAAAAAAGCTTTGTCTTATGCTATTTAGCACCTTATATTCAAGCAGATATTTAACAGAGCACCTGAAACTAAAGCTGCTCATCCTGCAGCTAACAAAATCTTTCCTACTGCTATATTTTCATAGAGTAAAGGGGGAAAAAAAGGTATTTATAAAATAAAAGGACAGTATAGAACAACACTCAGTTTCAATATAAATGAAATAAGAAGCCTGAAAAATTTTTGGCAATGAGATTAATATTCTCTTCTGTTCAGCTGAACTAAACACCAAACCACTGTTACCATAATGTCAGCATCACCACAGCTCCAAAACTCTGCTCTCAAACTCCCAGTCTGTTAACTACAGATGATGGGAAATCAATGCAAAGAATGTCAAATATTATCTTCCTGTTGGATGATCTCACCACTTTAAAAAGAATCAATAACTTCAATTAATATATATCAGAGAAAAGGACAAATAAACACAATCATATTTTCCTTTTTTTTTAAATTTTTGTTAGTTCCTTTAAAATCAACTGCATATCTTAACAGTGTATAATATCAAGATAATTTAACCCAAATTCATCAATTCACCATTGATGAAGGGATCAAAATCTATGTAAAAATAGAGAAAAATTTTCACCTAAAGGAAAAGAAGAACACTGAATACCTGGTAAGGGCTGCTGAATAATTTTCTCCATCTCATTTACAATCTCCTGACGAATTCTGAAGTCCTCATCTGAGATGCCTTGTTCATGTGCTGCCTGGATGAGGGTAAAGCTCAGAGCAGCCAACTGTGCAGGAGAGGGGGGTGGCAGGGCCCGCAGCTCGTTCTCCTCTTGCTTTTCCTGTGTAATTATTGGATAATACAAGTAATAATTAATATTTGAAGGAAAAAAGGTTATCTCATGCTACCGTATGACATCAGAGCCCACTGTTTCCTGTTTGTGTTCTCCTATTTATGTGGTGTCCTGACCAAACACTTCCAAAGGCAGGAGCCCAACCAATCCAACAGTGTGGCTCCCAGGAGTGGCAGCAGATGCTCAGGGTTTAAAATAGAGAATGGTGTCTCACAGCTGGCAAGTGGGGGGGAAATCTGCTGTGTTCCATTTCTGAGCCACATTTTCTGACAGTTCTGAAACACAATTCAGCCATGAAAATAAAAAGCTGTAGTTGTTACCACGTAATAAAAGTAACTGAGCTGCAGAAGTCGCACGGATTTCTCCAGAGTGGGTTGTACTTGAAGGAAAGGTATCAGAGGCAGGAAAAGTATTCCCAGCTCCAAGGAATTTTTATAATTTGAGTTCTTTTGCTGCTTAAACAGCTGGTGCCAGAAAGCACTGGGTTTAGTGCATCTAATCCAACAGCAAGAACATGTCAGATGCATCAGGTCATTCGGGACTAAGTACAACAATCTCTTGTTTCATAAATTCACCAACTAAATGAAATATGTGACTGACAACAGAAATAAATAATAGCCATAACATAAAGCACTAAAAAGCCCAAAGTCCAGTATGAAAATGTTTGCTTAGCTCTAAGCTGCATTTCTCAACTCTTCTGTTCTTATCTGAACAGATTTAGCATCAGAAAGAATATGGGCATTTTTAAAGGGTTTTTTTATGTCACTACTTTAGGATTTTTCCTGAGTTGGGAAACCACAGCTGCTACTGAGCTTATTTGATGGTCATGTATCTCCTGGAGCTGTACACAGGATATTTTATGCAGTAACATTCAGACAGTTACATATGTATCACTACAACGTGGCACAGAACACAAAGCCATTTGGAGACCATAGTTAAACACCCAAACTGCTCCCTGTCCCTCCCCTGTCCCCCAGCATTCCATTCAGCAGCAAAGAAATCCCATCCCTCAATTCTTATCTCCATGTCCAGATGAAAAGCAGGGCAAGAAAGTGTTTTTATATCAAACATGGTTCATTCTTTTTTCCATGATGCAATTTAGCAGACATTTAGAGCAGCAGAATCCTTTACCAATATCACTGAACACAAAAAGGTTACTTTGGGAGATGGAATGGATTTATGGCACCCAGAGTGTGCCAGGTTAGGACTTGCACACTTTATGGAATTAGAGCATTAACAGTAAACAGAAGTATGGTAAGAAATACCCAAGAACAGGAGAAAGTAATTTGACCAAATTTTGGGGAATGGTTGTAGGAAGGCTAATTTTAACCATTTAAATCCCAAACCCCAACACACTGGGGAATTCGTAGTTCTTCATCAGCATTTACAAAAACGGGCTGGCAGGAAAATCTGGGCACTTGTTATTGGATTTCAAGCACGTAAAAGTTCTCTTGAGCAAACCACACCACCGTGGTGTCTGATAAAGAAATTGCTTTTCTCTTTGTAAGCCTTAGAACTGCTTTTCATATCAAACACAGTTATAAACCCAACCAGATGATGAGTGACTCAGGAACTGTCTCCCTCCATCCTGTAACTACTAAACTTCCCAAGTCAGACTAAGTAAAAAAAAAAACCAAAAACCCAACATTCCCATCCCACCTCTAGTCCCTGGAGATCTTATTACCAATGGCATTACTTTTGGAAAAAAAACAGACAATCTAATTATATTTCTATATAATACATATATTTCTCACTTAAGTTACCTTGCCTTCTGCTACTAAAAAAAAGTATGATGAACTGCCCACTGCTCAGAGACACTAACTCTGAAGCAGTGACCAAAAATGTTCTTTCCTCTCTGCCTGGACAGACCATCAAGCCCTTCCTCTCCACCAGAAAACAGAAATTTGTGCATCTCTGCTCAGCACACAAACTTTCACCTAAATGAACGTGACCAAAGAAAACAAACCACGTAACAAAAAACACATGTTTAAAGAGAAACAAACAAACAAAAAGCCCAAATTATCCTTAACTTACCATTATATTTTTCTTATGCCGTTTTTCTTTAATATGCTTGTGAGCTCCCTGGATGTTTTCAATGTGAACTAAGCAGAGCTTGCATAGATACTGACAGTTGGTGTATTCTGGGGAGCGCTGAGGAGAAAGGGCCAGAGATTAAAAGAAAATATTTCTCCCAATAGTGGCTGAAAAACTCAATATTTTGAATACTTTGAATAATAAACTGTATGTAACACTTTTTTAAAGTCAAGGTGCTTTGCAAACATTCAGTAATCTTCAAATAAAACCAGTAGAAATGGTTTTTTTACCTGGATGGCAAGTGGGGAAAGCAAGGAAAGGAAGGGAGACAACTTAAACCTGATACTTCTCAGGACATTTTTGTGAGGAATGATTAAGACTGAAGAGTTTATGCTTCCTAAGACTGACCTAAAGGCTAGGAAACCATTCCCTTGTCAGCTCAGGCTGACAAGAACTGGATTTAACAAATGCCTGCATTTACCCTCCTTTCTGTGAGGAGAAAATGGCAAGTATTCCTCATGTTACCTGCTGTGTGTGTGCTGACAGCTGATGAGGGGGTTGGCAGCACATTCCCAGCACTCTGTGCAAGGGTTGCAGGTTTGGCCCGTGAAAAAGGGAGCGAGGAGGAACATCACCACTCACTAATGATGCTGAACAAGGTGCGATCTCTGATGATGTTCCACTTTGATGAATAATCTGGGATGCCCAGAACTGGAGAAACGTGCAGAACAAGCACCTTTTTGTACAGACAGGCTGGGAGAGGTGGAGCACAAATGGAGAGTGGCCACCGGGGAGGTCCAAGTCTGCCAAAAGCAGCCAAACCTCCAGAGATGATGGGGAAGAAGGGAGATCACTGCTCTCAGAGAGCCCAAGAGAGGATGCTGGGGAGTTTATTCAACCAGGAGACCCTTAAGATCCACCAGACTTAAAGGCAGAAAAGGGGAGGTGTTGTCTGCAAATACCTCCCTTTCCCTGGCTCATCCTGCACTTGTATTTTCTGACCCTACTTCACGTTTTCATCCGAGTAAATACATCTGTATTTACTACAACCAAAAAGCAGGTGTTTAAGCAGTGACATAACAATGAATGAACAGAGAACACCATTTTAAGACACTAAGGTAGACCACAGGTCAGTTAAACAAATTTTGACTTGCTATATGGAAACATAAACCACTGCTAAATTTGGGCAGGTTTTTCCATTTCATGAGTTTGACCTTTTGCTTTCGGAAAAAAAAAAAAAGTCTGATATTCTCCAAATGCAGAGTAAATACCAATGTAAAATAACATTGTCATTATGCTTTAATTAGTAATTCTCTTTATCCTTACTTTCTGTGAGACAGATACCTAGTAAAATGAAATTAAACATCCATTTGGGAAACAACTGATGGACAGTTACACTTGGCTAGCTGGGAAGATTCCCATATTTGATACCTGATGACCGAAGCAGTTCAATAATATTTGACCACTCTTCTATAATAAAATGAGCATCAGCAATAAAAGTATTTTAAAAATCTGTGTATTTCTTTACAATATTGATCTGCTGTATTATGTCAATAGATGTTGCCAGAAAGGCTGAATCAAGTACCAACTTTTATTTTGCCCTTATTGTAAAGACTTTTTTAATCCTCTAGTTATGCTTAACTGCTATGAAAGGGGCAAGAACTCAAAACAGCAAGACAAAAAAGTTACAGACTACTAGCTGAGTAAGACAGATGCATCCAAATGAGCCAGGCCTCATGAAATTTGTCCTTGGATATTCAAGGAGCTAATCTATAACACAGCCAGCTGTACTTTAAAGAACTCACAGAGAATGGGAAGGTTCTAGATCACAAGCAAAGAGAAACTTATGAATATCTTTAAAAGGCTAAAGGAGATAAGCCAAGGAATTAGAGACCAGTCAGAATCAGCATTCAGAAAAATACTGCAGTGAATTATTAATAAGCACACAGGGACAAAGGTGACAACCTGATCTGCTACAAACAAATTGCATTAACCCAAACGTAGGGATGCTTTTTTTAAAGTGCTTGAAGAAGCAGCAGCAGCAGATGTTGTATCTTGAATTTTACAAAGTTTTTGTCACTTGTCACAGTCTCAGCCTCCAAAGGAGACCATAAACACTATCCAAATAAAGAACAGTAAGGTGGGAGCACAGAGCACACACACCTCAAAGCACGGGCCAAGGATTTCTCAGCAGGGGTCCTTGGGGGGGTCAGAAATATCCCCACTTTTTTGCAGACTTGGGAAATGCAACAGAGGGTGTGCTGACTGCTAATGTGACAGACACAAACTTTAGGAGGGGATACAGAAGACGTAAAATACGAAAAAATTCAGGAACTACTACAAATTAGAGAAATGGAATAAATAAGCTGCCACTAAACAATACCACAGCAACGTGTCATTCCTCCTTAGGTACTGCCAACTGCAAGAAACCCAGGGCTGGGAACACCTGATGGATCATCTCTGAAGGAAAGGCTATGGGGATCATTGCTAGTCAAACTACAAGCCACTATCCTACTGCTGCTAAAAAAAAACAGATGCTCAACAAAAATGCCACCTTTCAGACAGATGAAGTCAGCTTTCCTATCTACAGGGAAGACTGAAAATGGCATGGCCAGTTTAGAGTCTAAAGAAGGGAAGACTGGAAGAATGGTAATGATCTTCCAGTGTGCAGATGGTGTGAAAAGGAAGTAATAAACTTACGGTTATTTTCCTTGGACAACACAAGAGAAATTAAAACACTAAAAGAGACACCTGAATTAGACATCTAGAAAAGCTCCTGGGTTGCCCACACTGACTTGGGGGTTGTTTCACTGGAGATATTATTAAGAGCAGTTTAGATGAAGATCTGTAAGTGGTCATCCCCAACATAAGTGACTGGGCCACCAAAGAGAGCAAAAAATTCTGCTCAATCCTGCCTTCTGAGTTTCCAGGGAACCAGATTTTCCAGAAAATCTTATGTAAACAATGGAACTGGAAACCTTTAGGTCTGCAGAGTTAAAAAATCTTGTTCTACAAAGGCTACACATGCCACAAAAGGAATCAGAAGTTTCCAAGCCGTATCATCAGCCACAATGACTGACCAGTCAACTCCCAGGGATAAATCCTAGACCATCAGGTGATTTGTTATTAAGAAGAGAGAAAAAGAAGCTGTAGCAGAAATACCACCCAACCAAAACATGGTGATGATAATGAGAGAGGACACACATTTTCTTCTTTATCTGATAAATACCCCAACCTACTTTCTCAAGTCGGGAGATATAATCCCTTTCCAGCCGTTCCTCGGCTTGTTTCAATCCCAGTTGCTGTTCAACTGTCAGATTGGATTCATCAAGACCAGCAGTGGTTTCTAAATAATCTGCTTCCAAAGTATGTTCTTTTGTTGATTCAGAATTCTTGATTTTACCTAGGGAAAGAAACAGTTACTTTCTTCAGAATAACTCACAGAGAGGAAAAGTGAAAATTAGATAAGAGCCGAACACAAATTAGAGCTACATTCCAGGTTTTTTTTTTTCCAAAGGATGGCCAGAATCATATTAAATGTTAGAATCTTTCCAGTATGTTAACCAGTATTTTAGAGAGACTTCAGAGACTAGTCTGCTACTGAGAGTGCTATCAAAAAGAGTTTAAAAAATGGTAGTTCAATTTTATGTTTCAGTCATAACTTCACAGTCTCTTATTAGGGCAAGAAAGGGGGTTTTTTTGTTATGCAGAACAGAGTATGCAAGACCCTGACACCCTACTGGAACAGATATAAGACATATTAGGCATAAAATTATTGTCCGCAGCACATTTTCAGGGAATAAATCACAGAAGTGCCCTAAAGCCATTCCCCCATGTGACCTTACAGAGCCAGTCACCAGGCAGTTCAGGCCCTCAATTTGGAAGCTGCTGGAGCTGCACCTGAACACACTGTGACACCTCCCCACCCCCAGCTCTGGAACGCTGCTGCTCCCAAACCCAGGGCAGCTGCCAAGGGCCAGTTCCTCCAGATGCCTATGGATTGGTCACAGGCCACTAATCCGCACCAACACCTACAGCAAATTATTCCTGTCGTTTTTACATAAGCAAAAGTGAGGGTTATTTGGGCTTTGTTGTTTTTTCTTTCCTTTCAGGTGGGATCTGTGCCCCCAGAGCAGCGAGGAAGCCAAACTGAGTAAGTTTCCAAGTCCTGGTTTCTCAGTGACAGATGGTCCCCCCAGTATATGGTGGTGGTGGTCTACAAACAGCTGACTGAGCACAGGATGCTGCCACCTCAACCTGGTTTTCCTCTTAAATTTTATTAAGACAGCTGAAAAAATACACACTTTACTATTTCCCTACTATTTCCTACTATTTTCCTACTATTTCCATACAAGCAACTGCTGTACAGGCAATATTCACAAAAGTCCCTGTAGCTGTGGGAAATACCTCAAACAGAAGGTCTGCACTGGGATAGCATCTTAGAGATGAAAAATGCACTCTAAAAGAGTGTGACAAATCCTGAACTACGGAATTAGCCTGATGAGACAAAGCCTGATCAATATATTTAATTTTGACATTAAAAAATACATAGAAGAATGGCACGCTCATAAGGGTATCTGCTGATGGATGATACATATTCCAGAGCTTCCTCAATCAAAAAGCCATCTGCCAAAACCCATTTTAAACATTTTTAGTAACCAAAAGAGCACAACAGTCATGGGAAAAAAAAAATAACTATTTTTCTCCTACTTATGATAAAGAACTTTTCTTGCTGATTTTCCCCCTCTGAAAAGCAGTAATAACTGGCATTTCCATAAGCAGCAATGTTATTATGAAGGGTTCCCCCTTCATAAGGCACTATATTCACAAAATTGCCTGAAACCCACACACACTAAGTAGCTTACAAAGATGTTTAGGTCTCAGGCATAAGAAGAAAGGACAGCTATTACCATAATCTCTTGTTCTCCCAGCAAAATGCTCGTATTAACAGTATGTTCTCTCTAAATGCAACCAGCAACTTTCTCTGTGTGAGGAAAATACTGGAACAGAAATATTTCAAAGCCCTTTTCAGCCTGTTCACAAACGCACCAGAAGAAAATGGAATAAAGCAGTGTTAACTAATACTCACTGAAGTCATCAGGCTTATGTTCCATTTTCCTCTGATCTGCAGCAGCCTTACCAGGATCACCAGTCTGATCAACACCAGCCTTCAAAGCAGGAACTCCCAGTGGATTTTCCAGCACCAGTTTCCCTTTCTGTGTAGCTGTTAAGCTTTCCATTCCGACCCCATTCCCTGAAATGTGGGAGCCTGGAGCATTTTCTCCCCCTGCCTGGGCTTTTGGCTGTTTCAGGTTTTCCATTGCCGATGATAAATTAGAGAATTTTTTTGCTTTCCCATGACTTCGATCCTGAGCGTTTGCTCCCGTATCTTTAGTGCCAGGACTACAACTATTTACTTTGCATGATTTATTTTCCCCTTGTTTCTCAGAACAAACATCATTTTGTTTACTTTTTTTGCTGCTATTCCCACTTGGAGAACTTCTCCCAACATCCTTCACAGATTTGTCATTCCTATTATGTTTGTAATTTTGATTAATTGTGACTTTGACAGGTTTGCCTTCCTCACAGACGAGACGGACAGACTTCCTTGGGTCATGATTTCCATTCTTTGAGCTCTTGGCCTCTTCCATTCTAGTGAAGACCTGCTTCTCCTGCCTCTTGAGACCACTTGAAGTGCAATTCTTCAGCAATTTGCAGTTGATTTTAAATCCTCTGTGCAGGCAAGGATCGTAGCTGATTGTCTGCCGAGGAAATAATGAGAAGATGTTTTTAAATGGAAGGAAAAAAATTAAAGCTCTGTGTAGACAGCACATTAAATAAACTTCTCTAAGGGAAATGTGGAACTACAAATTATTATAGGAAGCTTATTCCCCCCCTCCCCCCCAGGTATAAGTGAATTTTCATAACACATTCGGTATTAAACTCGTGAAAATGTTGATCATCTGGATTTGTATTTAAAAAAGGAGGGGATATTAAGAAATGAAAAATGGCAGAACACTGCAAAAAACACTGGAATAAACCTGCCAACAGCTTGCTTTTTTTTTTTCCTTCCTATTTCTGGCTTTCTGAGCAAAAACAAGAACCAAGATGTCTGCAACTACACTGGAAAAAATTAAAAAAAAAATAACACATCTAAAAAATCCCACTCAATAAATACACAGCTCAAATTAGCCACTAGAGAAAACTAATTCTGCTTCCAGCAAGCAAGCTCCATTTTATTAACTGATTTCAAGAAGCATTTAGAGTTATAATGCAAAGCATTAATAATAAACCTGACTGACCACCTGCACCCAAAGATACTCAGCAAACTTTTGACACATACAGCTCTCATATAAGTTAACTGCCAACAATTAAAGGAGATTTTGCTTGGCAAAGAAAGCCCACAAATAGTAAATATTTTGTTTAGCTGCAGATTAACTTTACTCATCTAAACCTCAGAGCTTTGGGTGGTGTGTAATCATCTGAGCTTGATGTTGGCCACAGCTTAAAGGCTCTTTCCAATGGGAAGTTATGAGTAAGTGGTCTGTTTGTAAGGCATTACTCTTTTTAATACAGAAATATAGATATGTTCTTTTTAATACAGAAAATCTGTCACAAGAAATTAGATTTTGTTTTAAATAACTTTGAGATAGCAATTAAAAATTATGAGAATGAAGTATTAGATATAAATGAAAATAAATTTTGTAAAACTATAACAAGGTATGGAGTGCAGAGTTTCTCTCTTTCCTGTCCAGCTCATATCTGGGTTTCAGAGAACCCATCAAAACAAGTAGCTCATAATTTAGTGAAGAAAAGGAATAATAGAAAAGTCTAAAAATTACAACTATTAAAAGTATCCCAACGTACTGCTGTACTTTAATAATAAGAACCAGAAAGATCAGATTAAAATGTCTGTTTAAAAAAAAAAAAAAAAAAAAAAAAAAAAAAAAAAAAAAAAAAAAAAAAAAAAAAAAAAAAAAAAAAAAAAAAAAAAGAACACACACAAATCCACCTTCCTGAATATTATCAGTATAAAAGACAGTAACATTTTTTCAGCCTGTATAATATAGTTACTACCTCTCTCTCACTTTAAAGAGACACAAATCAGAAACTACTTCAGGACACAAAGCACGTACTAAAATGGTTATCTAAAGTCTCCACTGAGATAACTGAAAATACATATTATCTTTCAAAAATGAAAAGCAAAGAAATGAACAAAACCCACAAGAATTTTCCTGAAGCTGAGTGAGCGCCACAGTCTTTAGCAAAACAAAAAACCTGAAGAAGAAGAAAAAAAAAAAAATCTGTATTCCTAAATCTGTAGCAATGGCTAAGTATTTTATCTCAGAAACACAATTAGTTAATATCACAACTATTTCCTATGTAACACTGACTGCACCTGGTTCGTACTCCTAGATGAAAAAAATGAAGAAGATGAACCAGTATTTGCCTCTGGACTTGCCTTTCCCCCAGCAACTCCTGTCAAACAGCAGCAGGATCCCAGCAGGATCCCACTTCCAGAGCTCACTAGGTTGGCTAAACCTGGATTCCTGCAGTGCCTGAGCCCACGTAGAGCTCTGCCCTACAGATGGAGTGTTACACCTCTGACAGGATGGACCCTCTTCACACTCCACTGTGCTTTTGGGTTTTTTAATGGAACCAAAGGGAAAGCAGAGCAGGACTTTTGAACTCTACACTATTTCCTGTTTCACTTGTTCAGCCTCAAGAGGGGGAAAAACCATCCAAAGCAACAAAAAAGCCCCCCCCCACACACACACACACATCAATTCCGCTTCATTTCTGGCGCGTTTGTGACCCCACACCCCCCTGACACGCCGAGGCCTCTCCAGGGCGGGCGGAACCAACCTGACGGCAGCAGCGACACCCTCGGTCCAGCCCAGCTCCTCACCAGCTCCTCGGGCTGCTCCTGCCCCGCGCCTTCCGCAGGGAACCAAACTGGAACCCCAACCCTGCCTAACACACAGCTGGCACCGCGAGGAGGAGGAGGAGGAGCACGGCCGGCAATAACAAACAACTCGCAGGGTGGGGACAACTCCTGTTGGCACCACTTCCACATCAAAGCTGCCGTGGAAGTCCGGCATGGCAGGAAAAGTGGGGCCTCCGATTGCTCTGCTTTTTTTTTTTTTTTTTTTTTGGTATGTGTCAAGTTGTTGGAGTCATATTTGGAAAGAAGGTTTAAAAAAAAAATCCACAAAAATTATTCAAATTATTTGATCTCGTCCATTCAATGAAATACACGGTTATATATTCAAAGAGAATATATAATCTTTAATCAAATGTACAAATGTGATGGGAAAAAACAACTGAGGAGACTGTTCATAAAAAATAGAATCCAGCTGATAAATTGAGTACTGTGATAATATGACATATCTAGAGAGTGAGTGTAATCAAATGCAAGTAGCTAATGTTAAAAAAACCCCACAGATATATTCCTTATTCCTCAGAAATATGAATAAAAAGAGGTCATGACATCTCATAAGACAAGAAAAGTTTAGAGTTCCTCAATGAAATGCAGGATCTGAAATGCAAGTGCGATAATAATGTTGAATTTGGGGATTTTTTTTTTTTGCTTTTTGTTTCTTTTTTCCTTTTACTTTTTAATGCTGAAATTATTTTAAACTGCTGCAAAATACTCAACAGTGCCAAATTACCATCTCACAAAGAACTGCAAGGTAAACCAACTATTAAAACTTAACACGAGAAACAAAGCAGAGACCACTCCTAAACCCAAGAGGGTCTCAAAAAGATTCCTCTGTCAGATATTGGCCATCTACATATGAGAGAGGGGAGAGAGGGAACCAGGGAGAGGGAAAGGAGTGCCTCTGAAAAAAATAACACGGTTGGAAACAAAACACTGGAGTGGAGTGAATCAGTGCTGAGGTGGCATCTTTCTGGAAACCTGGATGGCACATCTTGTTCACAGGCTCAGGCTCATACCAAACTGCCAGGTCTGCAATCAAACAAGATTTTTTTTCCCAGACAGGTTGGCAACAAAAACAGAGCTTTTCACCCGTGTCTGCAAAGGAGGGTGTGATCAACCTGTAGAAGGCATCTCAGCATATCTCATTTATTCACTACCCCGGAGTTACAGGGGACTTGGTTTCCTTTGCTTTCTGAAGTACAGTGCCAGGAGCTCCTCTGAACTCTAGCCCAGCTCTTGGCTCTTTTAGAAAAATAATCTGGCTGAAATACAACTGCTTGAGGTCAGACAAGATACTATCTGACCTCAAGCTCTAGAAATTATTAAATCTATACATACCTACAGCAACCGAATTAGAAATGTTTAAAATCAGCTTGGCTTAGAAATAGTTTTAGGTTCACGAAACAAAGGAGTGAGAATGTTTCACTTTCATTTCTGCCAGTTTCAATTCTTTCCTCCACCTCCCAGACTAGCATTAGAAAATTCTACATTTGAATTGCAAAAACTCAGGGTAAGGCTTAGGGGGGAAAAGAAAGCAAAACAACTTTCAAGAGCTATTTCTACTCATTTACCTTTCCACTTCTTCCTCTCGAGTTGCTCTACTGTACTTAACTCCCTCAAACACACACATTTTGGGTCAAACTTTGACATAAACAGGGCCTCTTCAAAAATAAAAGCAAGTCAAACTGTGAACTCTTGCATTCTGAGCTGCTCTTCTGCAAAGCATTTCTTCTTCATCATTTCATTAGGAGCAGAACTGCCTGTACCTGGTTTCCTACACATTCATTTTGTGCTCCCCAGTCACAGTCTCGCTCACAGCCCTGTGGGCAAACACAGGAGACGTGCTGGGACTGGGGCAACACCCCCACGGGGGCTGGGGGAACATACCCATGGACTGGTTTGCAGCTATTCCCTATGAGAAATGGAACTTCCTCTCCTTTACCGAGCCAGGATTGTTCCAGAAAACACACACAAACTCGATAATCTTTTGACATTACTTCAAATATGCTCTAAAACACGGTTCCAACTGGCTGAAAGGTCCAAAAGTAACAAGAGTAACTGAAGGGAAAGTGAACAGGCTTGCAAGTTTTGTTTCCCCAGGGAGTACTCCATTAAATATAAACAGTGACAGTACTACAAACATAAGTGTTATCGCTCTCCTTCTATAAAACATTCCCTCCTTTGAGATAGGGACACGTGTATTTTATCCAAGGCCTGCTTTTATCTGCCCCATTATGACTGTCCTTAAGCTCAAATCTCCCAGCCAGCCTTTCCACAGTAAGTGGGGTGATTAACCTCAGTGCCCCCCTCGCCTCTTTACCAATATAGCCCAGCTGAACTTCCTCCACAAAAATAAAAGGAAATTCTGCAAGCAAAGGTTACAGCCAGGCAGGAACAAGAGGAAAGGTTGTCTTCTGCACTCTGTTCATATTGCAACACAGGTAATGTCCACAGACACCCCTGATATGCTGGGGAACAGGGGCTTTTATGGACTGTTTACAGCCTTAGGCCTATTTTTCTGTCCGAGAACTTCTACAAACCATCCAAGCCTCTCCTATGTTCTGTGTCAATAATTTTTAAAAGTTATCACACATTTATGTTTGTTTTATGATGAACAAGACATAACTATTATGGATTCTTGATATTTTTCCAAAGCACTTAAAACTAAAACTACCAGAGATTACTGGGCACTAAAGCGCCTCAGGCTCCAGCAGCACTAAACCCATCGGTATTCTTAGTAACAAACACAAGTGCTACACAGCATTTCAGATCTCTCTGTTAATTCAAGCTATAGAATTTATCTTAGTAAGTATAATATTCCCAAAATCTATCTAGAAGAAAGCCAGTACAGTGCGCCCAAAATTTAACACACAAATCAGGGACGCAACAAAACGCACTCTGGGCTCAGTGAAACTACAGAACTCAGTAGGAAACTGATGCTGTATTTACAATTGAAAACTTCTAAGGAGTGATCACTATATTAACAACTATGTATATATAAGTAAAAATATATAAAACTGTAACAGGATGATATCTGAATTACAAAAGTACTGCTGAGTAACTGAAGTAACAAGAAAGGCCTCGCTTGATACAAAACATAGTAATGTATGTAGGTGCAAATATCTCACAATTGAATTATGAAATGAGCAAAATCTGCTGGATGTGAGATCTGTAAGGGATGTGCCTGTTACAGATCACTCTCTCTGCACTGACACTGTTTTTTCTACAGCACAGGGTGACTCACAGAGAAGGTGAGAGAGAGGCACGTCACCATCACCCAATGCCAAGAACACACTTTCTGACCCTACTACTGCTGCTGACTCCCCCTGCCTGGGGAAAGCCATCCTCTGTCACACCAGCTGTGTAACTAAGTTACACCAGCTTCTCTACCTCTCCATTTCATACAGGCTTCTCATGCTTTAGTCCATTTTGGTTCTGATGCTGGGGTTTACTGTCAGTCTGCTCCACAGCCGACTGCAGCAAGCACTGGAGCCAGAGGAACAGCAGCACCTGCCCCAAATCTCACGTATGCTGTGACACACATGCTGTGATCAGAGCAGAACCTGCTCCGAGGTAGCTCCAACTTTACACACACACACACACAACATTTGCACCAATGCCCCTGAGGAGGCTGAAAAAAACACAGCACAGCAATGCCCAGGTTTAAAGCCTTTCAGAGGCTGAAGTGGCTTCCGGAGACCTGAAGGGATCACGGAACTGGTTTAAAGAGCAGCCACACACCGAGCTCAGTTTAACCAACTTGCTCTTTACCTCCCTTTGTGTGGTGCTTATGCTAAATAAAAATACAGCAGTATGGATTGGTGGCATCTGGATCTCCTACATAAGCAATAACGATCCCTTCACCCCAGTTGGAATCCTTGAGGAAGGGATGGCCTGTGAACTACTTCACACCAGTTGCAAACTTCTTGCAGAAAATAGTATTTCATACATCAACAGAAAAAAAAAAAATCTAAGAACATCTCATAAATCGGGTTTTTTTCCAAAGATGTGCTGAAACCTTAGAATCAAAATTGTGAACCAAGGAAACAGTAGGAGTACCTCTGCACGTATGCATGCATTTCTGATGAAAAGAAAAAAAAGGTAAAAATTTAAAAAAAAAGTAATTAGTTTTTAGTACTTCTAAGTTTAACAATTTACCAAACAATACACAAAATCTTCTCAATATGCCAGAAGCACCAGAAATGTTGACTTCCACTGGATTGCTTCCATTGTGTGAATTAATTCACTAAGAAATAGCAGGTCCTTCTTTCTGCAAGTTCTCAATACAAGTCAGTACCAGCATGACATTATTTCATTAAGCCAGTGACAAAAACAGTTAATTTAGTAGAAATGCTTTGTAAAATTTCAAAAGCCAGCATTACAAGTAGAAAACGGGATATACTCTCAGCTGGGCAAAATTCTGAACTGCCTTACGGCATCACTGTGAACACACAATCCAAAGCTACCACTCTGACAAGCAGATCCACAAGACATTTTACAGGAGCTCCCCAGGGATATCTTGCTTTCAAGTAGGACACAGGGAAATCCTGCTCCCCTTTTTTCCTCCCCACAGCAGCAATTCCCTTCAGAGGAAGAAGCAGGTAAATGCCCTGCACTGTGCAGGTGTCCCACAGCATCCAGCAGTTTCTTTTCCACTGCAAGCTGAGGTGGGAGAAAAAAGTCCCAGCTGCCCTCTGTGCAAGAACAGAACACAGAAGGAACTCTCCGATCCCTCCGTGTTTATCTTCTGGGAACATATCCCAATATGTACGTTCTGGGAAATTGCAATTTTATCCCAAAATTAATTTTATGAAGGTATTTTCACTAAAGCTAAGTAGAAAAATTATTGAAAAAGCTCAGTGCAAAACTGGTTTTTGCAAAAGAGACCTCTTACTCCTAATATAGCACCTTCTGCCAGATACTGTAATTAAGTCATACTTCCACGGCTGGCTTACTTTTCTTGTCACGGAAATAATTATGTCATAACTATCTGGGGTCAGACTATCCAAAGAGCACCTATTGAAACTGGAAGCATAACTCAAACAAAACCATAAACAACACGTATCCTCTATTTTGAAGCAAATGCAATGACCCCTGAATCCAGGACACGGTGTTCAGGAAGCCAAGTGACATGGAGGTGGCAGGGATACAAAAAAATTATTAGATCCATACTTAGATACAACTATCTTTTTAATGTACTAATCTCTACCTTAGCCTAAATCCGATTATATTGTTTCTCTGCATGTTACGAGCTCGTCCCCTCTGATATACCCAGAAACAACCTCAAAAGCGAGGAGGCCTCAGGTAACATGTCATACTCAGCCAGCTGGCAAATCGCAACCTATTGCAAAAGCGGCAAAGTCGTTCAGCTGTATTTGTACACAAAATAAGCCAACAAAAGAGCACGACCACGTCGGCGAAGGGATGCCTGGGCGCCACATCGTAACTCACGGGGGGCGGAGGGGGCACGGCCGGCCAGGGCAGCCCCTACACGGGGCATTTCCCCGAGGGCCCCGGGGGTCTCTCCCCCCGCAGTATTTAATCGCACAGGGCGAGCGAACAACAACCCGCACGCAGCAGCCCCTGCCCGGATGCGCCCCGGGGGCGTCCCCGGCCCCCGCTGACCTTGGGGCGGCCCCCGCGCCGCGACCCCCGGCGCTCCCCCCGCCCGGGCGCGGGGCCCGAGGCCGCCGCGGGGCGTCGAGGCGGGGCAGGGCTGGGGCGGGGGGCGCCGGCGCGGACAGGCCCCCCCACCCGAGCGCGGCTCCCGCCGCCCCCGCCCCGGGCAGCCCCCGGCCCCGGTACCTGCGTGCGGCGCTAGCGGAGCGGGCGCGGCGCCCCCGCCATGCCCGGCCGCGGCTGCTGCAGGCCCCGACGGCAGCGCCTCAGTCCGGCCCGGCCGCCATGTCAGCCGCGCCGCGCGCTGCATTGTGGGGCGAGGGCGGGGGGAGCGCCCCGGGGGCGGCGGCGCTGAGGGCGGCGGCGGCGGCGGCTGCCACAGACTCGGCCCGGCCCGGCCCGGCCCGGCCCGGCCCGGCCCAGGCCGGGGAGATCTCCGGCAGCCCTGGGAGGCGCTTGTGCCTCAGAACTCCCCCTTGGCTGAGGGGCCGACGCGCCCCGCTCCCCAACACTCCCGGCGTTCAGGGCCTCCCTCCCCCAGCGCCACAGCAGCGAGCGGGGATGAGGGAATATGCGGAATAAGCAGCACGGTTTTTTTCTTAACCCCCCCCCCCCCCGCCATCCCAATTTCCCCCCTCCTTTTCTCAGCCCAGGCCTCTCCCTACGCATAAAATGATCGGGGTTGGAAGAGACCTTTGAGATCATCCAGTCCAACCATCCACCGAGCGCTGCCACTTGTAACCCTTAAACCACTGAACCACATCATCCAGTGCCACATCCAGGTGCCTCCTAAACACCTCCAGGGACGGTGACTCCACCACCTCCCTGGGCAACCATTCCAATGCCTGATCATCCCAACAGTGAGTTTATCTTTCCTAATAACTAATCTGAATCTGCCGTCTCAGTTGAAGGCCATTTCCTCTCATCCTGTCACTGCAGGCACGGTAGAAGAGACCGCCCCTCACCACACTCTCCTGTCAGGTGGTTGTGGAGAGCGATGAGGCACCTGCACCCCGGGCCCCGTGGAGCTGGGTTAGGGCTCCATGGAGCCCCACACCCAGTCCTGGCCTTGCTCCCCCCTTCTCCAGGGCTTCCCCTCCTCTTCCTCTCCTCTCGAGGCGGTGGAGAAGGGTGGGTGTGCCCCGAGGACACTGGGGAAGTGGCTCCAGGCTCCCTGACCTTGGCTATGGAGCTGGCCTCGGCAGCAGCCCAGGACAGCGGCTTGGCCAGCACGTCTGGTGGCAATCTGCAGGTCTCCAGGGAGAAGAGCCAGCCTGCCAGCTCTTAGTGCTGGACGGTGACCTAAAGGCACTGGCAAGTGCTCGTCTGAGGCAAATCCCTCTGTGAGCCACTGCTACCCCTTTTTGGCACTGCGATGTCATGTTGTTGGCACTTGAGGCTAAGGAGGCCTTTCCAGAAAAACAAGGCATGTAAAAGATTAGTCTTGAACTACTATAGGGGTTCAAAGGAAAGTATTAAAAATAACAAGAACTGTAGTGCTGGAAACACTGCCTCAGGGAGTATGTGCAGGTAAACAAAAGTTGCAAAATCTGTAATACTGGATTCTATAAATACTGACGAGACATACTTCTGAATGTATTGTGAAGTCAGCACAATCCTGAATAGGGGTAACCTGCCATTTTTTTGGTTCACTTGAAGTTCACACTTCACAAAATTAGGATTGGATAACTCAGGGTTGTACTCCAGAGGTTTCACCTTTTGGAACGTGAGCCAGGGCAGTCCAGGGCAGCAGTGACAGAAACAGCGGTGCTGCCATGGGGCCAGCTCAGGTTAACTGGGTGGTGGTTTCAGCCAGTCCTGTTTGACAAAGATTTTTATTAGGTTTCACAGGTCAAAGAGTAAATTGCAAAAGTAACCTAATTAAACTTGCTGCTGGATACAGTCCTCCTAAATCAACATTTAGACATGCTAGTGAGCAAATACATACCAGTTTGCAAAGCTGACTAGGATATTTCTTTCATATAGTTGGAAAGGCTTTAATATGAAATGTCAGTTCACTTTGGCTCCCAAAACTTGAACCATTAGAAAGCCAAGAGTCTTTGACATGGCTTCTCTCTGTGTTCAGGAACAATGCTTCCTTCTTTGCTGCTGTTAAAGAATGTTATATTGCAAGGAGCAGTATAGAAACATGGCAGTAAAAGAGGAAGCTGACTTCTACTGCCAGCTGGCCATTATTAAAAGAACTCCCAATTCAGTGCCAGTGATCAAAACCTTTCAGATTTTGGGCTTGGTTTGTAGGATAAAATATAATCCTGAAAGCCACTAAATTTTATCTAGAAATCAGAGACAATAATCAGAGAGCTGTAGGAAGCAGATTTTATAGAGTCCCTTTGCAGAGCAAAACTTGCTTATCTCCTGCTGCAGAATGACACCTCATTTTCAGTCCCATACCCAAACTACAATAACATTATGCCTAAAAAACATACAAGTGTATTGTAGATTTCTTTTTCATTTTCTGGCCCAAAAAAATGCTTACGTTGATCACCGTTGGAATGATTTTTTAAAATTATTTTTAGGATTTACTGGGTTTTTTAACATCTATTTAAGTGTATCTACTGTATCAAGGCCCTGTTCTCTGTCTCTAGCTGTGTTGGAAGAAACTCTAAAGCTTCTTAGATAATTTACTTATCAAATGAGGAAATCATACTTGACTGTCATCTCAAGGATAGGTTCCTGGTCAATACTATGGGCGGGAAAGTTTACAGAGAGATAGAACTTATCTGTGAAGAACTTCAGGTCCTTAGCAAGTGTCTTCCCAGCATAGTAGAAGATTTTCCATCTATATATTTTTGTAGCATATTCCATTATTTCTTGGTGCTGGATGTCTACTTAAGCTGAAATACATAAAAAAGATGTGAAAATCTGAAATGCTCAAAAACTATAATTAAATTTGTCAGCTAGCTGCTCATGTCTTCTTCACTTACAGTAATGCCAGTCATGCTTGAATTACCTAAGCAAATTTAATCAAAATGTCAAAGATCTACCAAAACTCAGTTAAAAAAAAAAAATCACCAAGTGAGATGACAAAATGTAATTTGTTCTTCAAAAGATAAATTTCCAATATGCCTTGGAGGTTCTACTTAATTGTTTTCTGTAAATCACTGCATTTTGCTTTTCTTTGCCAAGAACTATCAAAATCCCAGGCATGGGTGACCAGCTTCTTGGGCCAAGAAGAAATCAATGACCATTTAATGCTTTCTATTGTTGATACTTTATATGTCCAAATCCTTTTCCTCCAGCGGGCATGGGAGCAAAATTGTACAAAAGGCAGTTTTTTGTTGCAGGCAACCCAAGAATGACATCAGTGCCCTGAAGCAGTGGTTGGGCTCTGCATGTCTGAAAACCTTGGTACCAAATTCAGTTCCTGATGCTTAAGGCCTCCTTCTGGCTTAAAACCCCTTTGGTAGCGTGGATTGTCCCCGTCACACCGTAGGACCAGCGCTGAGGCACTCGCTGCTCGCTAACCAGGTGCTTGCAAAGCCGAAGTGCCCGCAGGCCCAGCTCATGAAGGGGTGTTCCATGCGGGGCTGGGCACGAGTGCTTGTAGTTCTGGCTTTGCTGTCAGCCGGGAGTCTCGTTCAGAGCACTCACAGCAGTAACCAGTAGCAACCAAGCCACCGGTATCCTTTGACATTACACCGTAGTTACCAGATGCTATTCTTAGTACACTAAAAAAAGGCACTTGCAAATCTGTCAAAAATCAAAACAACTTTATCCCTTATTTTTTTCCCAGGACGTAGTTAAAGCAGGAGCTTTAATTCTGACTGGAATCCCACAGACTGTTCTCGAGCCAACCAGTACTTTAAAACCACGTGCGGCACTCAATGCACCACTTCCACCGTGAAGTGCTCCATGTCAGAGCGCGTGGCTCCTCCACAATTCCCCCCGTGCCGCGGTTTGGTGTGGACAGAGCCTCGGGAGTGCTGCAAAAGGCCGGTTTGCAGCAGCCGGTCCTTTGCGGCGGCGCTGTGGCGGGCCGGGCAGAGCGGCGGCGGCCGTGCAGCATGCTGGATCCGGAGGGCAGTGTGGAGCACCAGCCTTCCCCTTCCTTCCCCAAACTCCTGCTCATCCCTCTAGCCATGCTCCTCGCAATTGCAGCGCTCCTGCTCTTAGCCTTTTCCGCCACGCGGCAGAAAGAGCCTGATTTTTACACTTTCAAAGTTGTAAACATCAGGGGCAAGTTAGTCTCCCTGGAGAAGTACAGGGGCTCGGTAAGTGGCGCGGTGCTGGGCTCTGGCCCAGGCTCACTAACAGCCAGTCCTTGCATGTCTGCGGGGCGAGAGGGGGGAGAGAGCACAGAAACTTGGGGCACAGTGGCGTGGAGGTCTGGGTTTATCACTCCTTCTCTCACCACTAACTGATGGGCAGTGCTGCCCGCATGCTGCCCGGGTGCCGGTCCCCACACCTCTGCACTCCTGTTTAGCGATGCTATCTAGTTAATACAGGCTCCTTGTCAATAAATGATTGCAGTCTAACCCCTGTGTGTGTCCGCGTCTTCTCCCGGCGCAGGCGGCTGCCGCCTGTAGACGTGGCAGGCAGGGAATGCTGCCCGCTTGCCGTTCCTGCAGCACGATGGATTGCACTGGATCGTGGCTGTTCACTTGGAAGCTCGGGAAGTTTGTGTCTTTGTGTAACTTACTTTTGGAGCTTATTTCTGCCTTTTAAATGCATGAGTTCTTATATATTAGTTTTACTTAAATCCCATTCCTTTTTAATGTTCTACATTAAAAACAAAAAAAGGGATTTAGTCAGTGGCTAATGGAGTAAACAGATTTCACTGTAGTTAGTGAAAATGTGAGAGACATTATAAAGTAATTATTGTAATATCAGAGTATAATGACATTGTAACATCATGCTGTTCCTCTTTCGCTTTTTAGTAAGTGAAAAAGGGCACGTAGACACATGCATACTTTATGATGTCTTTTAAATTTTATTTACATATTACATTAAGGAGTTTTAGGCAGAGCTTTCCATGCCATTTTAAAACAGTTTCCTTGACTATAACGTGATTTTAGTTTACGTTAGGTTAGGTTTTTTAGTAGTTTGATCATATAGAAAACATAGTCAGTACCTATGGAAGTACCTAGGGAATTTAGCACACTGAGGGCTTACTGCTATAAACTCTTATAGCCCCACTCACAAATTACGGAAGCTAAAATCATCATAAATCCCACAAGTGCCCCCTTCAGCACTCAAGTG